AGGCGTAAAATTGATGATCAACGTGGAAATCTTAGTGGGAGCAGTCATAAGCATAAAGGTGAGGCTAAAGAACAAGAGAGGAAAAAAGAGAGGAGTCGGAGTGTAGATAAAGATAGGAAAAAGAAAGACAAAGAAAGGGAACGTGAACAAGATAAAAGAAAAGAGAAACAAAAAAGGGAAGAAAAAGATTTTAAGTTCAGTAGTCAGGATGATAGGTTAAAAAGGAAACGAGAAAGTGAAAGAACATTCTCTAGGAGTGGTTCTATATCTGTAAAAATCATAAGACATGATTCTAGACAGGATAGTAAGAAAAGTACTACCAAAGATAGTAAAAAACATTCAGGCTCTGATTCTAGTGGAAGGAGCAGTTCTGAATCTCCAGGAAGTAGCAAAGAAAAGAAGGCTAAGAAGCCTAAACATAGTCGATCGCGATCCATGGAGAAATCTCAAAGGTCTGGTAAGAAGGCAAGCCGCAAACACAAGTCTAAGTCCCGATCAAGGTAGTATACTTTTTAAAGTATTTTGACTGATTTTTTAAAAAATTTGACTGAATTTATTCAAAGTTGAAAGTGTCCTTTCTCTCTCTCTCTTTTATAAACTCAGTTTGGTACTTGATAAATGATCATAATCTTAAGTAATTTAAGAAATCCTATATAATATTATTTATTTAAAAATTGCAGATTCTTTAATTTAAAATGCATTTTTATTTTTAAATTTTGTCTTTTCCCTTCTTTTTCAGATCAACAACCCCTCCCCGCCGTAAACGCTGAGGAATGATGTGGCAAGAATGCCATGATGTTTAAAAAATTCCATGAGTTTTAAGGGCTTGTCTCATTATAGAGGCACATTGTGGCTGTGTAGGTGAAACCAGAATCTTTTTTTTTTTTAATCTGTAAATAGGTGTACTTTTTCCAAATGCTGCTCCAAGTTACTTAATAGGATTTCTTTGTATTACATTTTTTTCAAAAAATAGTGCATAAGACGATAAACATGCCATTCTCTTTCAGCTGTAATGTTCTTAAAATTACTCTTGAATGTACTGTGATGTCAATAAAGCTCTTTAGTTCATTTTTGTTAACCTCTTGCACCTTAATTTTATGATTTTAATCTAAGGAACGTACTTTTATAAAAAGGCAGCTGGAATTTTGTATAACAGGTTTTAAAAGTACTTCCGCTCATCTACCCCCAAAGAAAATGGTTTTAACTTAATAGTTTGTCAAAGTCTGTAATTGTACCCATGGATTTTTGTCAAACTCCAATTTTAAGGGTGTGGATGAGGGCCAGAAATAGACCTTTTCATTTGGAAGCAGATGACAACTTTCTAAACTTTTTGGGGATTTTTAAGTTATATATTTTCTGTGTTTATAAACTGTGGTTCACTCCTGTAAAATGAAATTGCTAAAATCAGTCGAGCCAGTGCACCATTAGGAGTTATTTATGAGGAATGATTGTGTTTGACATAATTAGTCAAATCTGGAATTATATTCTGCAGTACTCCACTTCTGTTTTAAAAGCATATTTTAAATATTTTGGGATTATTATAGAAATAAGATCCACAGCTCAATATACTTATTTTATATTTTTAAAGTATAATATGACCTCAACTCAGTGGAGCAATGCTGTATTATTATGCAGGTTTGTGTCCTTTCATAACATCAAGTGGTCTGGTTTTGTCAGTTTCTAAAATTATGATTGGTGAGTGATCTAACAATTTAAGGTGTCAATACTACTTATGAGTAAAACAAGGCTCTGCAGGCATTTAAAAACTCATCTGCTTTCAGAGTCCATTTTCATACGACAATTCACTTATGTGGCAATAGATAAATCTCTGAAAACAAATGCTTTTAAATTTCAATTTAAAAAGACAAGAAGGTCCAGGTCACAGAAAAGCTAAAAGTATGTCTTCTTACCAGCAATAGTTTATTTTAAAATAAGCCAGATTTTTGCCAAGATCAGTGTTTCCTCAAAAGTGAAGGTAGAAATAGATTTGTATAGTGTGCTTTTGTAACGCTACATAAGTTCTTAAATAATTTGAGTAGTTATGCATTTATCTAGAGGAAATAAATCAACTGTGAATAAATGCATGTTTACCAAAACAGTTGTTTTACAGTGCATTTAGTTTTGGTATTTATAAAACTGACATTTCACAAAACAGCTTTTAAATAGTTTGGAATTCTATATGGCTTAGACATCATTCATATCTGGAGACAAAAGAAAATGTGCAATATTTTTTATGTAGGTGAGCTAAACAGTGTACCTAGTTTCAGAATTATCTGATTAATTTGTAATAGATAAGTTGTATAACTTTCATATCTTAAAATGTTTTTTAGATCAATCTTCAAGTGAAATAATATTTTCAAAATAAAATTCTACAGAAAAGTTTTGTTGGTTATGATATGCACATTTTTGGGCAAGATATGTTCTAGAGCCAAAAGTAGTATTTGACAATTTTGTTTACTCTGCCATAATATGCAAGCTTCATATCACTTAAGTCTGTAGATATTTTTAAAAACGCAGTCATGGTGTGATTATTAGTAGATGCATCAGTGTTACAATTAGATATTTGGGTTTTTCAGATTTTTGTGCATAATTCAGAGAATTCATTTTTATTCTATGCCATAAATTATGTTCCCCTTGGGTGGTAAGATTTTCTAAAATTGGACTTCCATGATTTGGGATGTGAATGCTAAAACTTACATATATCTTAATTAGTTGTAATCATTTGGTTATGATATCTTTCCTAAAATGACACTACCAGAAAATTAACAGATTTCATTTTTGAGACATTCACTGGTCTGGGTTGGTTAATAAAAACTGTCTTAAGAGATCCTCTTTAAAAATATTTCTAGTTGTTTTTGTGGAATGGGGTAAACCACATCATTAAGAGAATAAAGTGTAATTTGAAAAGGGAATTACAAGATTTGTTTCAGGCCCCAAAAAACAAATAAAGATTGGTGTGGAATCTCATTGTATATGTTTTCTGCCATTGTAAAATGTCTATTTTAGCTTCTGTTTCTAATGGTGCAATACACAATAGATGAACTTCCCCCAAATAGTCTGATTTACTGTTTCTTCAAAGAAACACATGATGTATAATTAGTAGGTAAGATATATTTTTTTTTATTTGATGTGGGAGAATTTTTATCTCGGAATTACATAAAGCCCAAAGTCCCTGTAATTTTGTCTTATGGAAATGTTTATATTTAAGTAGAGTTTTCTCTTAATACATCAAAAGCCTTTTACCGAATTTTCTAAAATGAATTAAGCATGATTTAATGGAGATAGTATTAGATTCATTGGATTATCCTGGGTCTGCCTGCTACCTGATGTTTTTTGGCCCAATCACTTAATCTTTAGGGCCCCTTGAATTTCTTCACCTGTATAAAGCAGTAATTAAATTTTTTTCCCTAGCACTTAGCTGCTTAAAGTAGAATTTGGTTGTAATGTCTAAACCTAGATGAGAAGATGGGCTTACTAGCCCTTAAAGTAACACATGTGTTACAATTATAAAAGTTTATCATGTGTCCTTCATAGAATTTTCCTGTAAACACATAGGTTAAATCTTCCATGTTCTGATTATTGTTACCGTTTATGTGGAATTTTGTAAATACAAAAACCTACAGTTAAACTAAGAGTGGATATAATAGTATGTAATTTCAAAAAGATAAAACTATCCACTGTAGGGGAGCACTTACCCTTAACTTGAATGAAAAATAATATATATGGTTACAAAACTGATTTTCAAAATACTATATAGGTTTTTGTTTGATAACAAAAGAAATTGTAGACTCGTGCTTACCACTTTTTTTGTGGAAGATAATAGCAATGACCTGGGAAGTAACAGTGACCATAGACCACAGTGCAACAGTTAATCCTTTCAATACAAACTCAGGTTTAACCTTCACTGGAAAAAAAGCCTTTTGTTGATATTTGTAGAGAAAAAAAATGAGTTAGGTTAGCTTATCTAGGTCAAACTAAGTGAGTATTCAGGCAACTTTTGTTTACTGTGGATGTTAAAGGCAAATCACTGCCTTTGTGTGGAACTGAAAATGTAGCGGGAAGGCTTTGAGGCCTTGTGAGGTCGTTCATTCACAGAAAATACATTTAAATAAAGCTCTTAGAACTTTTAATCATTCTTGCACTTTGCTTTTTTCCTTGGATCTGTCACTCCAACAAATATAACACATGCTAAATGTTCTTTTGTGCAGAGTTTTCTGCCTTCAGTTGGAGAGATGGTCATGTATCTTGAGAGGCGCTCTGAAGAGGACATAGCAACTGAAAAATCTGCAACTTTTAGGAAGAGGTCAATATTTTAGCTAAGAAGCCTTAAGTGAGAAACCATTACTGAGCAGTAAATTTCACTAATTCAAAGATCCCTTTACTAATTCCCTGCCTGTTGAAAATGTACAATGATTTTTTTGTCTTTAATGTTGGAAATACATCATTGTTTCCTAAGAGAGGCATCATTTTACAAGTAAAATATTATTGATCATTGTTCCTGAAGTTGCCTTGCCTGAGTGATTAACAGTCTCCTACACAATGTGTACCCTGTCGTTGATATTCTCATTTGCAGAAAGAAATTTTCATTTTAGACTTCAGAACCTGGGAGACATTTGTGTGCCTTGAAAAGGGTAGCAATTCTAACTTTAGGGAAGAAGTGCTTTCATCATTTTGTGATTCTGACTTTAAGGCACTGTCTTAAAGGGGTAAAAATATTTCTGGGAAACGTGTTAAATATGAAATAGAGTTACACAGCAGTAGAAGCTAGGTCACATAATAGGAAGTATTAGCGTGATTGACAGCTATTTTAACCATGATCTTTGAGGTGCTCTTGTAGAAATAAGCATATACAGGAGTCGTTTATGATAATAGAAACAGTCTATATTTTAATTTCATGCCCAATTTGCCAAATGTGCGTGAAAAGCGTTGCATTAGTATACCGTACATCTGTAACAGCTATTAGTACAACCCTAAGTTGGCACTGGGCCGGGCGAGAGTGATCTCGGAACCTTTCTGTTGGGGATCTTTTGCAGTGGGGACCGGAAAAGAGGAGGGTCCTTTGGGACTTTGTTGGGCGGTCGTCCGTTGAGCGGCTCTGGGGGTCGCTTTTTAGGAGTGCTGAGGCCTGGTTTCCGGGCACGCAAGATGACAGCCCGCGCCTAACCTCGTCGCCGGGTGAGTGGGCGTAGGTCCCTGGCACGCAGCCCGCCGTGTGACTGGCTGTTTTGCGCAGGCGCGAGGAGAGGCCGAGTTTTACGGCTGAGCGCTGCGCCAGGTCCGTGCGAGGCCAGCGCGCGGTAGGTGCCCGCGGGCTCTGTCGGTTGAGCGTGCTGCGTCTTGGCGCTTGCCTACCCCTGCCCACGAGTCAGGAAAGATAGCTGAGGCCTAGAGGTCCCGGCTGACGAGAGTGCGGCTGGCAGGGCGCCGCCATGTGTTCAGCGACCTTTGTTTCATTTTGGTTGCGCTCCTGCCTCGGGAGCCGGCGACCCCTGTTCCTGCGGGAGGCCCAAGGTCGTGAGCTTCCCTCGCGGGCCGGCGAGCTCCGCGGCGTTTCGGAGGGTTGGTGGCATTGTGCTGGAGTTGTGTTTGCGCGTGGTTTTGCTTTTTTCAGAAAGAATTTAAGGCATCGGATGCTGCTGTTTGATTAATAGGTTAGTTCAGCACGCTGTTTGGGCAAACAAGATTAACAAAACAACCCACTAAACCTACTGCTTGTAGACGCGTCGTCTGGTTATTTAATTCCCAGTATTAACCAAGAAGGGAAGTTCATCTTTTACATGAAACTCATTTAACAAAGACTGTATGCCTGGCATTGTGAGTATTTAAGCAAATGATATCCCAAGGGTTTCTTTTTAAAGTGCTAGGGTAGATATAAGAAACAATAAGCAAGAAATGAGAAACTTAAAGGCCCACGAATAGAGTTGAGTTGGTACTCATGCAATGAAAGATAGTACAGCCAGTAAGAAACTGTGAATTTACATGGAAAAATGGTTAGGAGAGAGTGTAAGTCACAAATCAGCACATTATGTATTATGAACTTAAAGCTATGAACTGCTATCAGACGCAGGTAGAGAGACATAAAAATTTTAATGAATATCTGTGGTGGAGTTGGTGATATATCACATATATATACTTTTTGAAACTTCAATAAACAAGTTTCATAATCAGAAATTTAGCAAAAAATATAACTATTACCAAATTTCGGCAGTAAACTTAAAAGGCGCATCCAATACATATTTAATAATACATATTTAAGGTCAAGGAAACGTTTTTAAAATAAAATTTTAATTATAATGTTTAAATACAATTTTATCATTCTGTTAAAAAACTATAATTTTGACAGTACAGCCTCACTGGCCAACCGTTGCACTCACCCTCCACCAAAACTCAGTGCCAGTCCTCTATCATATTACCCCTTCTATCTTCTCCCTCCCCCCACTATATTTTTCATAATTTAAGAGTTATTTTTAAAATACATTTATTTGCCTATACATGCAAGAACTAGGGTACAGGCCAGAGGTGTGGGGGGTGAGAGGATTCATCAGAGACAGAGTGGAGAGCAGAACAGGCAGATGTACTGAAATACATTAGTGAGGGGAGCAGCAAGCAAGTCAGGAGAGGTCTGCTGTGCCATGTGGGTATCTCCCTGGTCAGGGATTGAACTTGTGCTGCAGTGGCTGCGGCAAGCTTCATAGGTTGCATTTTAACCCCTTGCGCCACCAGGAAGGCCCCCTATTTTTCTTGTATTTTGCAAGTTTGTTTTATTTGATTATATTCTACAAATGAATGAAAGAAAGGAAACTTCTTGAGCAAGGTAGTTACAGAACTGTCTTGAAGGAATTGGCCAATTTTACTGCAATTGGAGTGGTCAAAGCACCAGCCTGAGTATCTGTGGGGTTTCTAGGAAACTGAGGAATGTTCCTTGAAAAGTAACCTGCCAATGGATGGAAGGCAAAGATGAGATTATTTTAGGTTATGACAATTCCATGAAATGAATGCCACATACACCTCCTCAAACTGTCTTAGTATCCTGAATACAGTGGGGGAATTGCTGAAGGAAAACATCATCAGCCCTCTGTTTAAGAAATTACATTTGTCAGCTGTATAGAAAGTAAGACCCAGGCAGGCAAAAACTAGACTTGGGGACTTTAGAGTAATCCAGACAGTAAATGATGGCGGCTGGAGCTATGATATTGGCAGGTTAGAGGTTTTGGTCTCTGTCAGCATGGTACCTACTAGGCACTGAAGAATTTTTGAATGAATTAAGTGAAAATGTCCCCACATTTCTTTGAAATCTCAAAAGACCAGAATGATCACAATTTCAAGATAAAGAAGGAACTGGTAGCATTCTGTTTATTAATACAATCTCAATTAGTTTCTCAAAGTTGTGAGGTGTTGTTTTAAAGTCTTGAGAATTCTAGCAATAGTGATGATTATGTGATTAATTTTCTGGAAATAGGAGAGGTATTTTGGAGATAGGCGTTACCACTGAGAGTAAGGACTGTTAAACTCTCTTAAGGCTCATTTTCCTAATAATACCTTCTATACTTATCTCTCACGATTTACATAATTATAGATATACTTATCTATCACAATTTACATAATTTCTAATATTTCATCCACTTACCTAAAGTCATAAAGGAGGTGATACTTGAACTGAACGTTAAAAGGTAGTACAGAAAAGAAATGGTGAAAGAGAGAATAACATATTTCTTGAGAATGTTGAAATAGATTTAGACTAGATTCTGAATGGCTTATTAAAAAACAAATGAAAAATTTAAAAGACACAAAGCTCAGGAGAAAAAATGTTCAGAGACTGAAGAAAAACATGAAATACAATCTCTTAGTCACTTAGAACATTCAAACTGCCCTAACAAAATACCATAGGCTGGGTGGCTTATGAACAGAAATGTATTTCTTACAGTTCTAGAGTCTGGGGTGTTCAAATGTGGGTTGTCAGAGAACAACCCATTTCCTAATTCAAAAATGAACCGTTTTGGGACCTCCCTGGTGGCTCAGGGGTTAAAGTCTCAGCACTATCAAGCTGTGGCCAGCCACTGCAGCATGAGTTTGATCTAGATCTCTGTCCACGGAGCTAACCCACATGGCACTGCAGACCTCTCCTGTCTCACCCACTGCTCCCCTCAGCAGTGTAGCTCAGAACAGACAGATTGACTGAAATACACTGCTGAGGGAAGCAGCAGGCGAGAGAGGAGAGGTCTGCTCTGCCATGTGGGTTAGCTCCCAGGCCAGGGATTGAACTTGTGCTGGGGATACCTTCATAGTGCTGAGACCTAAGCCCTTGCACCACCAGGGAGGTGCCAAAGCTGATAGGTTCTTGGAAACAAATTTAATGAAACAAAAGCAGGTAGATCTACCAATAATATTCTTTTGTTCAACTTCTGCAGGGATTATTCCCCCTCCCCCCCCCCCATCGTTAGAATGAAACATTGTTGAACAAAAGATACTATTGGGGGAAGCTGCTATAGTTCAATCTTATGTCTTTGAAATGTCAAAAAATTAGAAATAACCTAAATAAATATCACTAATAGGGCCCTGCTTAAATAAATTACAAGATACCATGCAGTTGTAAAATAGAAAGTTCTTTATGTTGTTATGAAAAAAATCTTCAAGATATATCAATGGATTGAAAAAGCGGGGTGCAGACTATATACACAATAGTCCCCAATTATTCATGAAGGATATCCATGTGTTCTAAGATCTCCAGTGGTTGACACTAACTCTGTTTTTATTCTATTAAAATGTTTATATCCCTATTAAAATGTTTCATTTATAAATTGGGCACAGTAAGAGATTACTAACAATAAAAGAGAACAGTTATAGCCATATAATAATAAAAGTTATGTGTGATCTCTCTCAAAATACCTTATTGTATATATTTTTGGACAGCTGAAGTCAGGGAAACAGATAAAAGGTATTGTGCTGTTTCATATAAAATTAAAAAAAGATACTAAAGACATTTGTACAAAACATCTCTGGAAGCATACATACAAATTTAATAGCACTGGTTGTCTCTAGAGAGGGAAACTGGATAGTTGGAGTCAGGGGTAGAAGAGATATTTTGTAGTGTACCCTTTGGATTTTTTGATTAAAAAAATATTTTGGCTCAAGAAGTTTTATTTTAGACTCACAAGAAGTTGCAAAAATAGTACAATTTCCATATGCACTTGGAAATTGACATTACTATGATACTATTAACTAAACTACAATTTGGATTTTACCACCTTTACATGCACTCATTTTGTGTATGTGTGTTATCACATGTAGAGATTTGTATAATAACCACCACAGTCAGGATAGGGAACTATTCCATAATAGCAAAGAAACTGCCTATGACTACTCCCTGTTATCAGAATCTACCCCAACCTTAACCCTTGACAATTGACTCATCTTTTACTATAATTTTGTCATTTCAAGTATTATAGAACATTTATTTGCATTTTGACATTAACATCTCTTCATGGGCTTATTTACACCTGTATATCCTCTGATGAAAAATGGCTTTTCATCATGTCTTTTCATAACACTTTTATATTTTATAATTGAGTTGCCTGCGTTTTTTTTTTTTTTTATTGGAGTTGTTTGGTATTGTTAGGTTTAAATAGTATCCATATATATTTTAGATACAAGTCCTGCATCCAATATGTGTTTTGCAAAAATAGTTCCTCTTAGTTTACTATTGATAGTTTTTCTTAACAGCATCTTGCACAGAGGAAAAAATTGTAATTTTGATTAAACTTAGTTTAATCAAATATTCTTTTATGAATTGTTTTCGTGTTAGATGTAAAACTTTTATACCTAGTCTGAAGTCATGAAGATACCATATATTGTCTAAAATTTTTGGTTTTGCTTTTAGATTAATGATCCATTTCCAGTTCACTTTTGTATAAGTGAGATTCAGATTGATGTTTTCTTTTTTGTTCATGACATTCCTGTTGTTTTAACACTATTTATTGAAAAGACTATTCTTCCTCCATTGAACTGCTTATGCACCATTGTCAAAATATCAGTTGGTGAATTTTTTGATCTGTCGCTGTAATTCTTCTGTTCCATTGCTATATCTGTCCTCCAATTCTATAACACCTTGATTACTGTAACTCTATGGTAAGTCTTAAAATTGGGTATTGTGATTCCTGCAATTTTCTTCTTTTTAAAATATTGCTCTAGCTATTCTATTTCTTTTGCCTTTTCATTTAAATTTTGAGTTATTTTGTTCATGTCTGCAAAAGAAAGGCAGGTGGGATTTTTATAGACTTACATTAAATGTATAGATTAATGTGAACATTTTTTTCCTCTGAAAAGGGTGTTGAGCTATGTATAAATCCATTTCATGTAGCTAACATGTAAATGACAGAATTTGAGCTAGTTTTAGCAAATAGTGACAGAATTAATATTGCCTTAACTTTTAAAGTTAGTGTAATTTCTATTTGAATATTGTTTCTGTAAGTTTATGCAGCGTAATATAAATGCAAAAACTAATGGCACAAAAAAGTTTATATACACATTACTTATTTTTGCTAATTGTGATTTCAGAATTACCTAGTTAAGAGTTTGATGGCAGAACACAAGACCATTATCTTTTAGAATAAAATCCAAAATGGTGGAAAAACTCTTTTATTTACCAAATGTAATCTAAGATTGCCATATAATACTGAGCTCAGTGATTATTCTCTTGATCAAAAAATCATATAAAACAAAGTTTTTTCAATTTTATGCATATAAGGGATTCATACCACACAGGGCTCTCTGTATACATTTAATTTTTTTATTGCTTTTATTCAGAGAACTATCTCAATGGGACTCAACCAGTAAAACAAGGGATTTTCAGTGAATACAACATCATGTGGTTCAAATCCTATAGGATGGCTTTTACCTGCTTGAATAGGCTGAAAAATTACAGGTCAGTTTATTTATTACTGTGGCAAATAATTATATAATAATGTGCAATAATAATTTAATAGTCATTATGTTTAATAAATCTTGTCAGTATGTAACAACTCATGATTTCATTAAGGTAGCTTTTACTGATTAAAATAATCTTATTTTTCTAACAGCTGTTAAATTTGGAAAATTTAAATTTGGATAATAGTTCAAACAAGATATAATAGGAGCTTGGACTAGGATGGTAGTAATAGACATGAAAAGAAAAACATCTGGGTTCAAATCCTGGCTCTACCACTTACATACCCTCTCTGACACTCCCTTTTGTTATCTGTATAATAGGAATAATAATAGAACCTAACTTATAGATAGAGATTCTGGGAGGATTAAATGAGATGACATATGTGGAGCTCTCAAATAGTATTTGGCATATAGCAAGTACTCAGTATCTGATGTCTGATGGTGGTGATGATGATGATGGTGAGACCCAGAAGGCTAAGTTTTATAAAGTTCCATTTTAATTGTAACTTACTTCAAAAGCAAATTAATTTTACCTCATCTGTGAATATATACACACATATATTCTTTCAGTGTAATTATAGAAAAAACTTAGCTTTAAGGTATCAAAACTGAACAGTACATGTATTCTAATAAATTGTATAAATCTAATAAATTTTGAATTAGAATATCTTTCTACATAATAAATTCCATGCTAAATGGTAGTATTTGCTTGGATCCTCATTTTGACCTCTTAGGTACCCTTGGACAAGGCAGTACAGTACTTCTCAAACCACTGTGGACAGCAGTGAGATAAAAACCTTCCTGACCCTGGCTCATAAGTGGTGGGATGAACAAGGAGTGTATGCACCTCTTCATTCTATGAACGACCTGAGGGTACCATTTATTAGGTAACAGTCTACCATTAATCACCCAAGTTCTAGGCTGCTTTCATAAATCAACCTGAAAATTTCTGGAAAATTATTAGGTTAATTATAATCAAATCCTTATGAAAAGGGAACAAGGTGCTGTGGCATCAAGGTCATTGTATAGTGACTTTCACCTTTGGGCAGTCTTGATAGAGGGAGTATGAATGAGACAGTTCAATTTAGCAAATGTTTATTGAGAACTTACCTTGTATAGAGATTGAGATCTTAACTCCGTAAAAGCTGCCTGGAAGCATTCAAAACATACTCCATGTACTTCAGATGTAAAGACAGGGTTCAGTGAGCTGTTTATCAAGAAATTTTTCATTTGATCTTATGTTCATTTATTTATTCATTAAAATATTTTTGAGTAGCCAGTGTGAGCAGTAGACACAGAATATCTCACGCTTTGCCCTCAAGGGGTATTCTGATTGGTTTTCATTCATTTGTCCAGAATCAGAGAAGCAAAAGAGAAATATTGGCATCATTTTATTACCACTGAATTAGTGGATCACTGAAATACTAAGGCAGAAAAAAGCAGAAGTAGGTTCAGGGTGAGCCCGGATGCACACTCAGCTTGAGAACCACTCTGTTCAGACGACTGTAACACTATTATTTTGCACATCATACTAAAACACATAACCCATGATAGTACAAGCCATGGTTGAAGTTTAGATTTTATTCTGAACATAGACGAAAGTCATTGAAGGGGAGTAATATGAGCTCATTTATGATAAAAAGGAATCATTTTGGCCATTGTGTGAAGAATGGATTGTATTTCATTTGAAATGGGTACTTTTCTGTATATTATAACATTCCAAAGTTCTCTAATTAAAAGCATTGTCCAGTGTTTTCACAGATGTTAATTAATTTTAACTGCAACAAAAGATGTCATAAGATACTCTCATTATGTGTATGTTGTTTCAATATAAGCATAATTAAAACCCATATAGTCTACTTTAAAAGTTTAGTTTACATTCTGTTAGGTATATGTATAACTCAATGAGTGTACACATGCACTTTTATTTGCTTATGTGATAAAGTATTACTCATTATCTAAAAATTGACTGTATAGTAAAGTTATATTTACAGTTCATGTGATCACAGATGCAAACATCACTAACTTAGATTAAAAGAGACTCAATTTAATTAGGAATATAGGCAATTTATGAAAATAAAAATCTTCAGCCTACTTTTTAGCCTTCTACACAAATAGGTAAAATGAACTATTTGTTGGGGCCTCCCTGGTGGCACAGGGGTTAAAGTCTCAGTGCTATCAAGCTATCGCCAGCCACTGCAGCATGAGTTCAAACACTGGCCAGGGAGATACCCACATGGCACAGCAGACCTTTCCTGTCTCCCCGCTGCTCCCCTCAGCAGTGTATTTCAGTCAATCCACCTGTTCTGCTCCCTACTCTGTCTCTGGTGTATCCCTTTACCCCCACACCCCTGGCCTAGACCCCACTTTTTATATGCATAAATAAATAAAATAAATCTTAAAAAAAATAACCTATTTGTTGCCTACATGAAATGGTTCTAGGAAGCTCTGACAAGACCACCCATAGATGTCTCAGGTGATATAATATCTCAAACAAAATTAGGTTAATCTAAACTAGATTGTTTTTAATGTTTTTCTTTAGATAATTACTAAAGTAATGAAGTCATAATTGCTACTAGATTATCCGAGTTTTAAGCCTTCTGTTTTTGATTATTAAAATGTTTTATAAATAAATATGTCATTTAATGCTGGAAATAAAAGATTATTTACCAAAAAAATCATTAATCCACTGAAAATGAATTTATTTCCTTAAAAATTAATACTTTTTGGGGGAATTTTCACTTGATAAACCTAATCATTTGCTTTTATATGTTTTGAATTTTTGAAAAAGAGACAATCTTTTAAAAACAGTTGCTAATCACCAGCTAGGAAAACCCTTGTCTGGGATGAAGATTCTTGATGTTGGCTGTGGTGGTGGATTGTTAACTGAAGTAAGTGATTTACAGCTTTCCTGACTTTTTTTTTTAAGATTTATTTATTTGTTTTTATTTATACAATAGCTGGGGTACAGGCCAGAGGCGCGGGAGGGTGAGAGGATTCACCAGAGACAGAGTGGGGAGCAGAACAGGCGGATGGACTGAAAGTACTGCTGAGGGGAGCAGCTGGCATGAAAGGAGAGGTCTGCCATGCCATGTGGGACTCTCCCTGGCTGGCCGGGAATTGAACCCGCGTTGCAGAGGCTGCGGACAGCTTCACAGTGCTGTGCTCAACCTGCTGCGCCACCAGGGAAGCTCCTACTTTCCTGACATTTTAACTGGGGATAAAAATGTGTGTTTATACCCAGTTTATCCTTTCAACAAATAATATTGTTCATTAAAAATATATAACATTGAATATACTTTTATGATTATAAAATACAAACCTTTTGCTATTGAAATTATAAAAGATTCAGAAAATTAATAGTTTTGTCTCTTGTATCCCAAGAAATTAGGCAGTTTCCACTAGTTTAAATACAATGATAAGCCATCCCTTTGCACATGCTTTAATATCAAAACCTAGCAGAGTTTTGCCTGCTTATGGGCCTCTTCCCTCTTCAGTACTTTGGAGCGATTGGAAGAGTACTCATTTTCCCTGTGATGAGCATTTGCTTTAGTTTATGATAAATTGATACCCTACAGCTTTATTTTGTATACTTCTATCAACAATGTGCTTATGATCAATGCTGATCATGATAAGATTTTTGAAACATATATTAAGAAACAGTATAGGGTACGAATGTAAATTAAGGTCCAGTGCAATGTGGTGCTGTCAAGGTCCATCACAGTCACGGTGACAGTGAGGTGAACAGAGGCCTTTGATGCACAGCTGAGTTTGCACATGCATCGAAATCTGTTGCTCATACAACATGGGCTTTTTTTTTTTTTTAAATCAAATATAACATTTCGGGCAAAGAAAAATATGTGAAAGATACCACATAGAGTTGAAAATGTGTGGTGTATGGAATTGTAAAGGAAGAAGGTTTTACTGTAAGTGTCTTCTCCGTGTATTATTGCAGATCTTATGTCTCTGAAGTTAAAATAATTTCATTTATACCTTTATAGACTGATTCTCACTTAAATGCTATGCAAGTTTTGATCAAAATTAAGGTTGTATTTCAAAACTTGGTCAAGTCATGGGGAGTGATTGACTATAAAAGTTGAAAGAAGAAGTAGCTATGATGAATCATTTCACTGACAGAAAAAACTCAAAAAATCGTTCTTTAGAAAATTTGAATATCTCAGAAATTTCTGCTATTGTTGCAATGACATTTATTACAATTTAATTATATTAATTACATTATTATTGCATTTTGCATATAAATATACCTAGAGAATATAATTTTTTTTTTTACTATTCTCAAGTAGCTCTTGGTAAGTTTCTGTTGTGATTGTTGTTCTCTCTCTCTCTCTTTTTTTTTTTTTTGGTGGGACCCTCGCTGGCGGCTGGGGAATGAACCCACGCTGCAGAGGCTGCGGGCAGCCTGGCAGCCCAGCTCTCAAATGCTGCGCCACCAGGGGAGGCCCAGATTGTTCTCTTTTAAGCTTTTAGCATGGAATATTTCAAACATACAAACTAAATGACGTAATGAATCTTCCTGTACCTATAAATTATTTTCAGTAATTATCCCTTGTGGTTAATCTTGTTACTTTTTTGATAAACTTTTTATTGCTAATGTGTTCTAATTTTTTCTTGTGGCTAACTTTTTTTTTTTTATGTCTTTAGCCTCTGGGTCGGCTTGGGGCTTCAGTTATTGGAATTGATCCTGTGGATGAGAACATTAAAACAGCACAGTGCCATAAATCATTTGACCCAGTCCTGGATAAGAGGATAGAGTACAAAGTGTGTTCCCTGGAAGAGATTGTGGAAGAGACTACAGAGACATTTGATGCCGTAGTAGCTTCTGAAGTTGTAGAACATGTGATCGATCTAGAAACATTTATACAGTGCTGCTATCAAGTGTTAAAAGTAAGACTTGGGAGTTAACTTGTTTGTTTTTTCTACTGTTTGTATGTATGTATAGCCATAAATTGTTTCATAATGCTTGAAACTAGGAAATCAGGCTCTCTGCTAGAATTACTTCTGCCTCTCAGTTTGTCCTCACCAGTGGGGTTGTACAGATTCAGTATCTTGATGTCTAGGTATCTTGAAAAATGTTGATGTTGAACATTATAAGACAAACAGTAGATTTATAACAGTATTTTTCCATTACTATAATCTGGATTAAATACATAGTAGACATTGATTCACAATTGCTAAGAAATTGACTTGGATTAACACCTAAAAACTAATAAAAGTCATTATTAACAGAAATTAACTTAGTATTTATTAAATAACTGTATGTAATGTGTATGACAGTTTTCAGCTTATGAAGGTATATTTCAAACATATGATTTTACTTGATCTTAGAGCCGGTGAGGAAGGTAAGGTGGGCATGGTTATAGCCTCTTTTGGCCAATAAAGATCAGCATTTAAGAGCTATCAAAGGGGGCCTCCCCGGTGGTGCAGCGGTTGAGTGCTGGGTTGCGAAGCTGCCCGCAGCCTCTGCAGCGCTGGTTCGATCCCCGGCTGCTCCCCAGCCACCGGAGGAGGGTCCCACATGGCATGCAGACCTCTCCTGCCGCTGGCTGCTCCCCTCAGCAGTATACCTGCTCCCCTCAGCAGTATACCTCGGTCCTCCTGCCTGCTCTGCTCCCCGCTCTGGCCCTGGTGAAGTCTCTCACCCTCCCGTGCTTCTGACTGTACCCAGTGCTTGTATAAATAAATAAATAAATCTTTAAAAAAAAAAAAGAGCTATCAAAGGTTACTGAGACTTAACTGAAAGGTCACTAGGCACTTAAGTGGGGCTTAAGGCTACATCTTTTGACTCCAACTCTTGATTCTCCACATTACGTTATTATGTCTACATAATTTGCCACAGACTTAGTCCTCTGAAGGTAATTTCTTATTTTTAAAAATAAATATCTCTGTAGTAGTATTATTATTGCCATATTAGTGCTATATTAGCTGTTGTTTATATATTTAATAGGTAATAGCTTAAGGAACTAGGGTGAGGCCAGTGAAGCACCAAGGGCAAGAAATCGAAGGAGACTCTCATTGTTTGGTGCCAACCATGCACCTGTGTGCCCTCAGGAGTGAGTGCCTCCTTCCACTGCCTGCCCCACTCACCTCACTGGCCTCACCACAGTCCTCACCCTGTACATAAGCCATGGCGCCTTTGCCAAAATTCAGGAATTAACTTTCACTTTCTACTATTAACTAAACTGCAGACCTTGCTAAATTTCATTAGTTTTTCCACTAATGTAATTTTTTCTGTTGCAGGATCCACTCTAGGATCCCACATTGCATTTAGTGGACACATCTCCTTAGTCTCCTTCAATCTGTGACAGTTACTTGATGTTTCCTCTTAAATGAGCTTTATTAGGCTTATCTCCTGTTTTCCAAGTAAAACTTCTTATTTATTACTTTTTGTGTTATGTGTCAGCTAGTGTGAATGGGGGTTCTTTCACATATATTAGGACTGCTGGAATTGAGGACTTTAATTTTTACTTTAATGGGGAGTGTTTAAAAGAGTAAATGACCACTGGTCACCACTATTTTCTTAGAATAATATTTTGTAGAACACAGATTAGATATTGATAAGTGATTTTTCCCAGTTCTATTGAGATATAATTGACACAAAGTGAGTCTTCTCTTTTTTTTAAGAGAGTAAGTGAGAGTGACTTTTTTTTTTAAGTTTTTTATTTATTTATACAAGAACCAGGGTACAGGTCAGAGGCACAGGAGGGTGAGAGAATTCCCCAGAGACAGAGTGGGGAGCGCAACAGGCAGACAGACCGAAGACACTGCTGAGGGGAGCAGCCGGCGAGACAGGAGAGGTCTGCTGTGCCATGTGGGAATCTCCCTGGCTGGCCGGGAATCAAACCCGCACTGAAGAGGCTGCAGACAGCTTCACAGGGCAGCGCTCAACCAGCTGTGCCACCGGGGAGGTCCACAAGTGATTCTTAAAAAGATGTTTTGCAATACTTGATTTTTACAAAGGAAAGTTATAATGTGTAGTGAAATAGTATCTGATGTTTTAGTTTTTAATTTTAAGGGATATTCAGAATTCCAGAGTCTCATCCTCTTTATTTTTGGTTCAGGGTTGTATTAGAGTTAAATTTTCTCTCTCTGTCTCTTTGTCTTTATGCATGTATTTTTGCATATATAATACACATAACACATGTATACACATATATATGTTATGTTATCTGTGTAGAAATCATTAGCATTTTATCCTCATCAGGCTAATGAGAATGTGTAAATGAGAATGTGACAGGGACTTTAGTATCCTTGCTGTAGTTAATATAGGAAACAAAATAACTATAGTCGGTAAAAGTCACATGAATACTTGATCCCTTCATATTCTTGGTACATATTAATATTCCATTGATTTGTTATGAAATAAATACAAAACAGAACCTTTCGAGCCTTAATACATTGATTTTTTTTTTGTCAGAGACCACTTCTTGGCAGTGCTCGCTAGCACAAGTTCTATAGCTATACCCCGTGCCAGACAAATTAGCAGAATCTGCACCCAGAGAGAAAATAGCAGTGGCATATTAGAATGTAAATGTGGACATAAAACAAGGGAAAGCAGCCTGATCTTATTTTTTATTAAAATGTATTTGATATGTACAAGAGAATGTATATAATATAAATATGTCATAGTCATGTGTGATTTTAGGAATTATAAGCACCATTGCATAAACTCAGTAAGTGCATTTGTAATGGACTCCCTTTAATGATGAAGTTTCCAAAAGAAAAAATACTAATTGGGTAAATTATGTTTTACTACTATATCTTATTTTTTTTTTTCTGGGATACAGGCCAGAGGTATGGGGGGGGGTGAGAGGATTCACCAGAGACAGAGTGGGGAGCAGAACAGGCAGATCTGCTGAAATACACTGCTGAGGGGAGCAGTGGGCGAGACAGGAGAGGTCTCTGCTGCGCTGTGTGGGTCACCTCCTGCCTGGGGATCGAACTCGTGCTGCGGTATCTGTGGATAGCTTCATAGTACAGACATTTAACCCCTTCTGCCACCAGGGCGGTTCCTACATGTATTATCTTAATTGCACTTAAGTTAGTAGGAGTTAGCAGTTAGCCTTGACCTAAATGATATCCCTGACATTTATATTTCTACTTCCCTACCATTTTTTTTAGCCTGGTGGTTCTTTATTCATTACTACAATCAACAAAACACAGCTGTCCTATGTCTTGGGAATTGTTTTTTCAGAGCAAATTGGAGGTATTGTACCAAAAGGTACTCATACCTGGGAGAAGTTTGTTTCACCTGAAAAGCTAGAGAGCATTCTGGAATCAAGTAAGTATTAAGAATTTTTCCAATTTTTAAGTCCTAACTGAACTAAAGTACCTATTGTTATTAACTACATAATAACCTAGCACTTGATTAAATAGATCACTCTTTGGATGTTGGTTTCATCTCCTCACCTAGATCAAAAACTCCTTGAAGTTAGTATTACATGTTAGATACCACTCCTCTCTCTCTATGGCACATACTCACGCATATCACAGATGATCAATTAATACTTTTTGGCTCTTACTCCTCACTTGTTTAAGGATGAAGTACAAATGTCTACTATGTACACATTCTCAGTTTACCCTGTGGAGGCCCTGGCTTGTATAGTTTAGTTTACATACTATTTTCCCTCAATTTTTCCATGTATTTTGAACTGCCTTGACATTTTTTATTTATTTTATGCTACATATAGTATACCTTATATTTTGTTCCCTTTCTGGCCTCTAAGTTCCTTAAAGGTAAACCTATATCATCTTTGTACCTTTTAATTTTTAATTTATTTTCATTGGTTGTTTTAATTAAAATTTTTTTTTAGTGCAGTAACAGTTTACAACATTTGTTGTGTTTCAGAAGTATGGGATCTTCCCATAGTCCACCACCACAGTCTGTTGTGCTCCTTCCCCACTTTGTTCTGTCCCCTCCCCTTCTCCTCTAGTGTCCTCAGTTCTGTCGTCAGCTTTTTAGGGTTTGTTGTTGGTTTGACTTTATCTGTTTGGTTTCTCTGTATTTCTTTTTTTTTAATTTATTTATTTATGCATATAAAAACTGGGGTATAGGCCAGAGGTGCAGGGGGCAGTGAGAGGATTCACCAGAGACAGAGTGGGGAGCAGAACAGGCAGATTAACTGAAATACACTGATGAGGGGAGCAGCGGGCAAGACAGGAGAGGTCTGCTGCACCATGCGGATAGCTCCCTGGCTGGAGATTGAACTTGTGCTGCAGTTGCTACTGATAGCTTGGTAGCACTGAGACTTAACCAAGCCAGCAGGGAGGCCCCAGTTTCTCTATATTTCATATAAAAGTGATACCATCGAATATTTGTCTTTCTCCTTCTGACTTATTTTGCTTATCATAATCCCCTCTATAGTTTCATACACATTGCTGCAAATGGCAAGAGTTTATCATTTTTTGATCGCTGAGTGGTATTCCACTATGTGTGTGTGTGTGTGTTGTGTGTGTGTACACCATATCCTCCTGATCCACTCATCTGTATTTGGGTACTTAGGTTGTTTCCATAGCTTGGCTATTATTGTAAACAATGCTGTAGTGAACATACTTGTGCGTGTTTCCCTTTAAATTAGTGTTTTGTTTCTGTATTCTTTGGATAGATACCTAAGAGTAAATTGCTGAGTTGTATTTCAAAGCCATTTTTAATCTTTTGAGCTGCTTTTTTCCAGCCCCTATTTTCCATATATGGGCTGGACCGGTCCATGTTTTTCACATCCAGGCCATCAGATGTTTATGGTGTTTTTGATATGGGTCATTCTCACAGGTGTCAGGTGGTATTCCATTATATTTTTGATTTGCATTTCCCTGATGATAGGTGACGATGAACATTTTTTTTATATACCTATTGGCCGTCTCTATATCTTCAGAGAAGTGCCTATTTAGCTCATCTGCCCATTTTTTGACTGAATTATTTGTTTTCTATTTTGTTGAGTTGTATGAGTTCTTTGTAGATCATGTGTATGGTGTGCAAATATTATCTCCCATTCAGTAGGGTGTCTTTTGTTTTAGGGACAGTTTCTCTCACTGTGCAGAAGCTTTTTAGTTTCATATAGTCCCAATTATTTATATTTTCTTTTGTTTTCCTTCTTGCTGGAGATGAATCCACAAAGACATCTTTAAAGCCTATGTCATGAAGTATTTTGCCTATGTTCTCTTCTATATATTTTGTGGTTTCCAGTCTTACATCCAAGTCTTTTTATACTTTTGGAGTTGATTTTTGTGTATGGTGTGAAATAGTGGTCTAGTTTCATTCTTTTGAAGGTGGCTGTCCAGTTATTCCAGCATCATTTCTTGGAGAGACTTCCCTTGCTTCAGTTTGTTCTACTTCTTAGAAGAATGCCATTGAAACTTTGATAAGGATTGCATTGAATCTGTGTATTGCTTTGAGTAGGATTGTCATTTTGACACTGTAATTCTTTTAGCCCACGTTCAGGGAATTACATTCCATTTCTTTGTGTCTTCTATTTCTTTTAGCAGTCTTATAATTTTCTTTGTATAGGCCCTTCACCTCATTTGTTAAATTTACTTCTAGGTATGATTTTCTTTTTTTAGTGTAATTGTGGGATTATCTTCTTAATTTCTTCCTCTTCTACCTCACTGTTTACATATAGGAAGACAACTGATTTTTGTGTTTTGTATATCACCTTCTTATACTTCCTACAATGTTTAGCTCTGCTTTGTAAACCATGATCACTTGATGTATATGTTAAATTCCTCTCAAGTAATAACATTTATTTTTTTTTTTTTTAAATATTAAATTTTATTTTTATATTCCCCCATACAATTGCAAACGCCCCATTCTGACCCCAATCCTTCCCCTCCCGCCCCCCACCCCCCAAAAAGTGTCTCTGGTTCATAGTTTTTTGTTGATTTTGATTTTCACTTTCTTATATTCATTTTCCTGGTCCCTTATTTAAGTTTTCTAGATTCCTGCTATGAGTGAGACCATCCGGTATTTTTCTTTTTCTTTTTGGCTTATTTCGCTGAGCATGATCCCTTCCAGTGCCATCCATGTTGCTGCAAATTGCATGTGTTTATCTTTTTTGAATGCTGAGTAATATTCCATGGTATATATGTACCACATCTTCTTGATCCAGTCATCTATTTTTGGGCATTTGGGTTGTTTCCAAAGCTTAGCTATTGTAAACAGTGCTGCTATAAACATAGGAGTGCAGGTGCTCTTTGGAATTGATGTTTCTGTGTCCTTTGGGTAAATACCTAGGAGTGGAATTGCTGGATCATATGGAAGCTCTATGTTTAGTAGGTCCAGAAATCTCCACACAGCTCTCCATAATGGTTGGACCAGTTTGCACTCCCACCAACAGTGCACAAGAGTTCCTTTTTCTCCACATCCTCGCCAACATTTGTTGTTGCTAGTTTTTTTAATATGTGCCATTCTCACTGGTGTGAGATGGTATCTCATGGTAGTTTTGATTTGCATTTCCCTGATTACAAGTGATGTTGAACATTTTTTCATATGTCTGTTGGCCATTTGCATTTCCTCTTCAGAGAAGTTTCTTTTTAGCTCTTCTGCCCATTTTTTGACTGGATTATTTTCTTTGTTGTTGCTGAGTCTCATCAGCTCTTTGCAGATTTTTGTGATCAGTCCTTTATCATTAGTGTTGGGTGCAAAAATGTTCTCCCAGTTGGTGGGGTTTCTCTTTGTTTTTGTTATTGTCTCTTTTGCTGTGCAGAAGCTCTTTAATTTGATGTAGTCCCAGCTGTTTATCTTTCTCTTCACTATCACTGCTTTGGGTGATGTGTCTGTAAAGATGTCTTTGATGTGCAAATCCCGTAGTGTTTCGCCTATATTTCCTTCTATGTATTTTATGGTTTCAGGTCTTATGTCTAGTTCTTTAATCCATTTTGAGTTGATTTTTGTGTATGGTGTGAGGTAGTGGTCAAGCTTCATTCTTTTGCATGTAGCGACCCAGTTTTCCCAGCACCATTTATTGAACAAACTTTCTTTGCTCCAATGCATAGTCTTTGCTCCTTTGTCAAAGATTAGTTGACCATAAATCTGTGGGTTTATTTCTGGATTTTCTATTTGATTCCATTGGTCTGTATGTCTGTTCTTGTTCCAATACCATGCAGTTTTGATGATTATGGCTTTGTAGTATAGTTTGAAGTCTGGGAGTGTGATGCCTCCATTTCCTTCTTTTTTTTTCAGTAGAGCTTTGGCTATTCGGGGTTTTTGGTGATTCCATATGAATTTCATCAATAATTGTTCTATTTCTTTGAAGAATGCCATTGAGATTTTGATTGGAATAGCATTGAATCTGTATATTGCTTTTGGTAGGATGGCCATTTTAATAATGTTTATTCTTCCAATCCATGAGCAGGGGATGTCTTTCCATTTCTTTGTGTCTTCTTCTATTTCTTTTAACAGTGTTTTATAGTTTTCTTTGTATAGGTCCTTTACCTCTTTTGTTAGATTTATTCCCAAATATTTGATTTTTTTTGTTTCGATAATAAAAGGGGTGGTTTTTTTGATTTCTTCTTCTTCAGATTTATTGTTTGTGTATAGGAAGGCTACTGACTTTTGCGTGTTGATTTTGTATCCTGCCACTTTACTGAATTGATTGATGAGCTGAATTAGTTTTTCTGTGGAGATTTTGGGGTTCTCTATGTATATTATCATATCATCTGCAAATAGTGATAGTTTGACTTCTTCTTTTCCTATTTGGATTCCTTGGATGTCTTTCTCTTGTCTTATTGCTCTGGCTAGGACTTCCAGTATTATATTGAAAAGCAGTGGTGAGAGTGGACATCCTTGTCTTGTTCCAGATCTTAATGGAATTGCTTTCAGCTTTTCACCATTGAGAATGATACTGGCTGTTGGCTTGTCATAGATGGCCTTTATGATGTTGAGGTATGTTCCTTGTATCCCAAGAATTTCAAGGGCTTTTATCATGAATGGGTGTTGCACTTTGTCGAAAGCTTTCTCAGCATCTATTGATATTATCATATGGTTTTTATATTTCTTTTTGTTGATGTGTTGGATAACGTTGATTGATTTTCGGATGTTAAACCATCCTTGTGCCCCTGGAATGAATCCAACTTGGTCGTGGTGAATTATCTTATGGATACATTGTTGGATTCTGATAGCTAAAATTTTATTGAGGATTTTTGCATCAGTGTTCATTAGGGAGATTGGCCTATAGTTTTCCTTTTTTGTGTTGTCCTTATTCGGTTTTGGTATTAGTGTAATATTGGCTTCATAGAACGTGTTTGGTATTGTCCCTTCCTTCTCAATTTTTTGGAAGAGTTTGTGAAGGATAGGCACTAATTCGTCTCTGAATGTTTGGTAGAATTCATTTGTAAATCCATCAGGTCCTGGGCTTTTGTTTTTGGGGAGGTTTTTAATTACCATTTCAATTTCGTTGCTTGTAATTGGTCTGTTTAGGTGTTCTATTTCTTCTTTATCTAGCTTTGGGTGATTGTAGAGTTGTAGGAATTTGTCCATCTCCTCTAGATTGTTGAACTTGTTTCCATATAACTGTTCATAGTAGTTACTGATTATTCTTTTGATTTCTGCTGTGTCCGTTGTGATTTCTCCTCTTTCATTTATGATTCTGTGTATTTGTGCTTTCTCCCTTTTTTCCTTTGTGAGCCTGGCTAGGGGTTTGTCTATTTTATTTATTTTTTCAAAGAACCAGCTCTTGGTTTCATTGATCTTTTGGATTGTTTTTTTAGTTTCAATTTCATTTATTTCTGCTTTGGTTTTTATTATTTCTTTTCTTCTACTGGTTCTGGGGTTTTTTTGTTGTTCTTTTTCTAGATCTTTGAGCTTCGAGATTAGGTTGTTTCTTTGAGTTCTTTCTTGTTTTTTGATGTGAGCTTCTATTGCTATATATTTTCCTCTTATTTCAAGTAATAACATTTATTTGGCCTTTGACATTCCCACTTAGATTCATCTGTCATATGCTTTGTTTCATATGTCATTATATCACTAAACTTGATTTTACTTGGAATGTTATCAGTCCATAGCAATGTCGTAAATTCTAAAGATTTTAAAAGTAACCTTGTTGAGAATAGAATAGAATGAAAACTATAAAAGATGCTTTATTGGGATAATCACTTTTTGTCAGGTATTTTCTAATAAGAGGATAACATTTATTAAGTATTTACCAAATTCAAAGTATGGTGTTATTTCATACATGTATCTAATTCTAACAGCTCAGTATCTTTTGTACATATGAGAAAACCAAGATTCAAAAATATTACTATATAATAGGTACCCAAGTCTTCCTAGAGATTATGTCTGTTCTAAGGTAGAGATCTGTATATAGTTAACAAATATTTTTTCCCATTAAGTTAGGAATTCTTTTTAATATAGAGAGTTGCATGAGATTCTTGGTACTTGGGAGATAAACAATTTATGAAATTTCCTCTTTCTGATTTATTTTTTCAGATGGTCTTTCAGTCCAAATTGTGGCAGGAATGGTCTACAACCCCTTCTCAGGTTACTGGCATTGGACTGAAAATACCAGCATTAACTATGCAGCTCATGCTGTGAAATCCTGGAATCAGGAAAACCCGGTATCTGCCGAGCTTGTTTTAAAAGGAGAAACAGAAGAATTCCAAGCTGAAGCCTCCACCAACCCAGATGTGCATGAAAAGCTGAAGAAATGAATTACTTTTAAGGACTCTAGCAATATGACTTGAAATTCTGATGCTTACAAGTATAAAAAATATAGAATTTACCCTTTGAGAGAAGATCATAAAGAAAAGAAATAATGAGGACTAAAAGCTTAGATAAAAGCTTTTGTTGTTTCTTCTAATATCTATTTTCAAGGGATTATTCTATGTACCAAAAAGTTTTGTCAAAACTTTTGTTTCTCCTTTTAAAACAAGCAAAGGGATTGTTAAACATTTCCTGGATTTGGATTCAGACATTAAAATCAAGAAATTCAGGGGCCTCCCTGGTGGCCAAGGGACTGCATCTCAGCACTGCCATGATGAAGGCCCCCCCAAGAGGGATCTGGGTTCGATCTTGGCCAGGGAGCTACGGTGCAGCAGACCTCGCCTGTCTCGCCTGCTGCTCCCCTCAGCAGTGTATTGCAGTAGATCTGCCTGTTTGGCTCCCCACTCTGTCTCTAGTGAATCCTCTTGCCCCCGCAGCCCCTGTACCTCTGGCCTACACCCCAGCTCTGTGGAAAAATAAAATCTTTTTAAAAGAAAAGTCGGCAAAATTATGACACTGATCTGGCATAAAAAATAAATTGTGTATCCATTCTTGTAAAATTCTGTCTCATATTGCTTTTCAAAAATAATTTATAAGTAATATTGGTCATTATTGGTAATTATTTGCATTTACAGAGTGCCAGGGCCTGTGCTAGGTGCTAGGCAATCATTCTCTCATCTAACCCAATAGTCCCCATGAGGTAGGAACGACTGTCTCCTCCATCTCCAAGAAATGTTAAATGCGTTCAGCATCACACAACTAGCAGTGCTCTCAGGATCTGATCCCAGGAGTCTCTCTGATTCCAGAGCATGTGTATTTGACACCTAGTGTTTCTGCCATCATGTGGCCATAGTCATAGAACAGCCACACACAATTGGATTATTATCATATATTTCCATTGTCTCCATGCAAGGTGGCATATTCAAGAGGATTTAAGTCAATCAGAGCTTCATGAAGTCTAGAGGCTGGGCTATTTGCCTCTAGTCTCTTAGAATTTTGTTTTCTTTTGATGATTAAAATGTCTACATGCCACTAACTCCAACTTAATAAAAATGTTTCAAATACACTGAATGATATTGTATTTTAACTTCTATATTATAATAACAGGTTTCACTAGTGTATGAATAAATCAAGGAAAAGTACTGAATTAAAATACTACACATAAAAATATCTCATTTAAGGGCCTCCCCAGTGGCACAGCAGTTGAGCGCTGGGTTGCGAAGCTACCCACAACCTCTGCAGTGCCAGTTTGATCCCCGGCTGCCGGGCAAGGGTCCCACATGGCGTGCATACCTCTCCTGCCGCCTGCTGTTCTCAGCAGTGTATTTCATCGGTCTGCCTGTTTTGTTCCCTGCTCTGGCTCTAGTGAATTCTCTCACCCTCCCGTGCTTCTGATTGTACCCAGTGCTTGTATAAATAAATAAATAAATAAATCTTTAAAAAAAAATCTCAGTTAAGTTAAAAAAGTTAAAAATTTTGACACCATTTGAAACCTCTTTTTGATGTGTACCAGGAACACTCGTAAGGGATTCTATGCTACCATTGAACTAGAACACATACAACATTGAGAGGCATTGAGTACAGATTTAGAGACTGCTTGGTAACCAGGTACAGAGGCAGGTCATGCTTAAGGAAAAAAAAATTTAAACATGGATATGTGAGGTCACTGCAATTCCATAAAACATAATCTGCATGATTATAGGCTACAGAAGTAAGTCTAAAAAACTAAGAAAATGTTATTGTACAAATACAAATGGAAGCAAGACCAAAAGAAACAAAGTGTTAATATAGCCAACACATAATCCCTTTTATTAACTTACATTGTCACTGTATTAGGCGATTCTTATTGACTATTTCTAATGAGATGCAAATAACATGCAAGTCTTCTCTGTAACAACCACAAAAATCCTGACTCTGACAGTTTGAATGAAAATCAAAAGAATTTGTGAAATCAATAAGCCAATTGTATCCCAATGAGAAGAGGATGCAGTGGGTATAAATAAGTCACTGTTTTGGTGCTAAAAGGCACCAGTTGGACCCAAAGGAAAAAAATATGTTCTCAAGATGATGTGGCTGCAGAGCTGGGATGAGGGTAGAGTGTAACGAGGTAAATATGGACACTATATTTTGTTTCTTGCTGACTGGGGACCCCCCAATGAATAACACGTGATTCCCACCTGTTTTTTCTGGGCCCATAGACAGGTTTCTGCGGTCCAAGGAACCCACACAAAAATGGGGAGCAAAATTATGTATGTATAATTATTTTTGCTGAGAATGTCCCACAGCTTGGAGACAAAAGCATTTGTGAGGGCCTCCCTGGTGGCTCAGGGCTTAAAGACACAGTGCTATAAAGCTATCTCCAGCCACTACAACATGAGTTCTAGCCCCTGCCAGGGAGCTAACACATAATGCAGCAGACTTCTCCTGTCTCTCCTGCTCCTCCCCTTAGCAGTGTATCTGCCTGTTCTGCTCCCCACTCTGTCTCTGGTGAAGCTTCTCACCCCCACCCCCACACCTCTGGCCTACACCCCAGTTCTTGTGTGCAAAAGTAAATCTTTAAAAAAAAGTGTGGCCAAAAGATGAGAAATAGAAATATCTATCCACTTATATCTATTTAAAATCAGCACTAAAATACTGTCATGTGGAAAATAGTCTTTACTCAACATAGTTTGTAGAAAAAGAAAAATACAGTCACTCTTCTCCTATATTTGTAAAAGTGAACATGAAGCCTATCAAAAGTCATAAAAGGCAAAATCTTCAGCAATATTTAAATTACCCTTTTTGGTTATTCTTTTTATATTGAATGGGAAAGACTTTCTAAGAATCTGTTTTTAGACTTAATTTTGTTTTTTTTTTTTTTTCCCCAGGTTGGGATGGGCCAGTCTGGATTAATTAGCATATTTTTATAATGTTTAAAGAATTTCAACTCATAAAAAATTGCTGATTTTAAATAGATATAAGTAGATTAATAGATGACCAGATGGATGGATAGGTGGATAAGTGGGTGGGTGGATGTATGGATGAGAGATGTTCTACCACGATGTTGTCAAAGAATCTAAGGGGACTGATTTAATGCAGATGATTAACCATGTACCTCAACTCCCCATCCCAACCACTCACACCCCCTCACAGGTGTGACCTGGACCCCAACCTACAGTGAACGGGTCTTTGTCCTTTTAGGCCGCTGCTTTTTCACTTCTTAAAAGTCTTCCTTTGAAATCAATTAGTTAAGTCTTAGGTGATTGGCACTCAGGCACCTGCTGAGGTCACATAGTTTTGACATTCTTGTAGCCTAAGTAAGCATAACATCTATTTCTAGTCATTGTCCAAGATTTGGACACCCAATACCAATTCTTTCATTGAATCTGTCCCTGATACAGTTTTTTGCATTCATCTTCCCTAGCTCTACCTCCCACTGCTTCCTTCTCCCACACTTTTCTTTTCTGCTGCAACTTTTATAAGCCTCATTTCACAATTTACCAATTACCCTACTTTTCAAGTCTCTATCAAAGTTTCCTTTATTTCCTACCTTCACTGAAATTTGGCTCTCCTCTGAAGATATTGTTTTATTTTCATGTTATTTTGAGAAGTTTCACATTTTCTATGAACCTCAGAGTTGGGAGATTGGGTTCATAGGACCACAAGTTTCCTTGGCTTATTGTTATTATGTTACAGGGCAGGGAGAGGGGCACCCCAGAATCCCCAGACCTGCCTGCTCTAAATAGGTTCTGCCATCCCCGCATCAAGACAAAACATATAGACCTTTAATGGAAAGGAACTTTAATACAATTAGTGTGCAATACAGAAAAAAGACAAAGAATATGGTTTCTAAATCAGCCACCAAAGTTACCCATCCCCTTGTGGGTAACGCCCAACCAAACAGGATTGGCCCAAAGCAAGTCCCAAAGGCCTGCCACAAATCTAAAGCACCTTCTGGTGGAGGGAGATCCTTGGAAAAGGGTCAAAAACAGCCAGACAAGTCTGGGAGGAGAAGAGCAAAATCAAAATCAAAATAAAAGCTGCCATTGTCACCTCCCCATGGGTCTCTCACCCTCATCTGTTTCACCCAGTCCACGACCAAGAAACAAGAGCAGCTTTTTCACATGTCTCTCTGCTCTGTGTGCCTCCTCCAGGTCTCCTTCTGGCTCTCCATCCTGCTTCCTCCTTCCCCAGTATCCTCTCCAGCTTCTCCATGCCAGCTCCACTCTCCTTTGGGTGGGACAGGGAACCTGGAACCTCCCCTTTTCCTGGGGAGCACCCTGGTACAATTACACTTGTGTAAAAGCCCTTCCTTCTCCAAGCTCACAGATGGGTCTCCTGTTCTCTGCTCCCCTGTTACCAAGACCCATTCCCCTTAATCTCAGAGTCCATGTTCTTTTCTCTAAGGTCTCACATCTTCTTGAGTCATGTCTAGGTGAGTGGTTTGTATCCTATCTACACAGAATTATTTTTCTCTATTAGGAGCTCCTAAAAATACTAATAATCCAGTAAAAAATAAGTAGTTCACAAAAAAGTCAATACAAATGCATCTTCCAAAAAATACATTCGAACTCACATAATAAAAGAAACACAAATTTAAAACTAGGAGACACTATTTTATCACTTATCAAACTAGGAAAGATCAAAATATTTAAGAATATGTGAGGTAGGTGTGTGTACGGGGAAAGAGACACTTTCAAAACTATTGAGAGTTTAAACCGACTCCATGGGGAGCAGTACGACAAAATCTATTGCAATTACAATCCATAGGTCTTCCACTTGCACTTCCAGAAATACATATGTACATATATGTGTTATATGCATGTGTACATATGTATAACAGCTATATTCTATGCAGCTTTAGAAAAAGAACTAGGAAGATTGGAAGTTCTGTTTAAGATTAAAAAAAGAGGACCTCCCTGGTGGCACAGTGGTTGAACGCTGGGTTGCGAAGCTGCCTGCAGCCTCTGCGGCGCCGGTTTGATCCCTGGCTGCTCCCTGACCACCGGAGGAGGGTCCCACATGGTGCGCAGACCTCTCCTGCCGCCCGCTGCTCCCCTCAGCAGTGTACTTTGGTCCTTCTGCCTGCTTTGCTCCCCGCTCTGGCTCTGGTGAATTCTCTCACCCTCCCACGTTTCTGACTGTACCCAGTGCTTGTATGTATAAACAAATAAATAAATAAATCTTTAAAAAAAAAAGATTAAAAAAAGAGAAGAAAGTAAGGTGCAGGATAGGCAATTATATGCTACAATTTGTGTAAAAATATTTAGAACTATATATGTGCAAATATGCAGGTATATATAAGTAAATAAATATGTAATGTTATTATAGTGAACAAAAGAACTGGAAATAAACACAGAAGCAGATGACTCTTTTCTCTGGGGAGGAAAACTGGGGAATAGTTAGGAGGGAGAGTGTGTCCCAGAGAGTCCCAGCAAGAGACTGAAGGCACACTAATGACATTTTGAGGAACTTTTACTGAGAGTTCTATGTACAAAAGTGTAGAGCCCCAAGGCTAGAACAGTAGAAAGTCATTACCACCCCTCCTGCCTAAGTAGAAAATGTGCCTTACTTCCTGAAACCCAGGGAGAGTAGCAATGTGAACAATTGCCTGATGCCTTGACTCTGCAGGAAGAGATGACTTGATTAGTTTGGGTAGGAGCCATCCAACATGGAGTGTCCCTTTGGAGCAGAGTTTTTGATTCTCTTCATAAACAGTGGACTAGCCCATTGTTAATCAAAATGTGGTCAGGTCTCACCTGGAAGCGTGTTAGAAATTTAGAAATGCAGAATCTCATCCCTCCCTGTCCCGCCCCCCATTGGAGTTTGAATGTTCACAAGATGCCCAGTGATTCACATGCATAGTAACGTTTGACAAGCACTGATGTAATTGTCTCTTATTTGATGATCATGGCAGAATGCCAGTTGACACTTGTACACTTGAAAGACTGGAAAGAACTGATTAGCTGTCCCCTGTCGCATCGTCATGGCCAGGCTGCAGAGTCACATTGCACAGGCATAGCAATATCTGCATAAGCAACTGTCTGAATCTACCTTTCTCCAAAGGTGACAGCATAACCGGCAGGCATTGGAGACTTTGTAGTCACTGGATTTAATTCAGAACTGAGTCACAGACTGAATGCAGAAAGAATCAATACCATGGACAGCGCCCCAGCAGGCTCTTGGTGCTAGTGGTGGAAAGCCCCACCTGCCGTGACACTGTGCTTGAATTTGGGCTCTAACCTGGCTCTGGGAATTGGACTAAGTTAATTTACCTCCCCAAACCTCAGTTTCCTCATTTGTAAAATTTGGATGACAATAATTATCCAATACAGGTGGTTACTGGAAAAAAAAAAATCACTAGGTAAGCAGGAAAATGATGCCTAGGCTGACAGAAGTGGCAATGGTGGGAGTGGTGGAGTAAAGATGCTCAGTCTGGCTCTCAAGGTCTTCATACCATCTCACTAGCTGAAGGGGCCTGCGAAGAGGGCTGAAGGGCAGACATGCTAAGCTCCCTACACCTTCACCCCATTGGGTAAAGGACCTGCACAATCAATCGGGGTAAAATGGGATCACATCCTACACTGGGGATTTGGAGAAGCCATTCTTTGAAGGGCCAGTGTCCTTAGCAACTCTGTTAACCCCACCCTTTTCCATTCCCTCGGGCTGAGTTAACTATATCACTATCACTCCTCCAGGGCCAAGTCTCTGCCCTCTCTGTGATTGAGTGGCACCCATGTTGGAACAGCTTTTCCTTGTAGGGCTTAGTCTGTTCTTGCACAAAAAGTTGGCTAAGACTTGTGTCATTGCTGTGCCTTCTCAGCTTAGCTGCCTTCCTTGTTCCCCAAAGCTTTGCTCTGACGTCCTCATAACAGACTCTTGCCCAACCTTTAGGTTTGTTGACACCTCAGAAGCCACTCTATCTCCTTTCATCTTTATACAAGCCTGGGTTCTAATAATCTTCTGTCTTCTGTACCATGGGTCCAAAGGCTAAAATATAGTCTGCATCAGAATGTTTAATGTTATATTTTAGTTTCTTTCACAGGATTTAATTTTACCTATCAAATACTAGTTTACCTGATTTTTTTTTAAGATTTATTTATTTATGCATACAAGAGCTGGGGTACAGGCCAGAGGTGTAGGGTGAGTATTCACCAGAGACAGAGTGGGAAACAGAACAGGTGAATTGACCAAAGTACACTGCTGAGGAGATCAGTGGGGAGGCAGGAGAGGTCTGCCGCACCTTGTGGGTAACTTCTTGGCCGGGGATGGAACTTGTGCTGCAGAGGCTGCGGGCAGCTTCACAGGTTGCGTCTTAACCCCTTCGGCACCAGGGAGGCCCCTAGTTTACCTGATTTCTAACTGATTTGTGAGCAGAGGGTTTGTCAGTCTTTATTCTCCCATTTGCCTTCTCTATTTATCTATGTCCTCTCATCGAATCTCCTACCGTCTGTATTCCTCCTTGTGTCCATCCCCATGGCTGAACCTAGACACCCAGGTAAATAACTTGGTGCCAAATATCAATCCGATATTCCTTTAATGTTGGGTCAGCATTTACTGACTGAGTAAAGACAGTGCTGTGAGGGAAGCACATAGAAAGCATAGAGGATCATGGGTGCCTCTGCTCCCTCCTCTCCCCATCTCAGCCCAAAACATTTCTGCTCTGATCCCCAACTTGCCCGCTCTGCTCCCCGTGGACAAGGCCCTGCGTCTTCCTGACTCGGGTCCCTGGAACAGTCTGGCGACAACTGCTGTCACTCCAGCAGACCGTTGTGCTCCATTCCTTTACCTGTTCAGGCAAGGACGACTTCCAAGTGCACACACACCACTTCCTGAGAGGTCACACATACACCTGCTGCAGGGTTTGGGACGCCTCAGGAGCTGGTGCCTGGGAAGCAGCCTGGCTCCACCCTTTCCTCATCTCCTTGGAGCTGGCAACAAGTCCACGTTTTAATAATAAGCCCACACTCACTGCCTGTTCTAGGAACTGCGTAGTTGGGGAAGTAGAAAGGAAGGGGGAGTCGCCTTTCACTCCAATCTCCGCTGCTTCACACAAAAGCCTGGAAGGTTTTGATAGCTGTCCTTTCATCCTAAAAGCAATAAACCCCCCTATTCGAAATTCTTTCAGCTCTTCCATTTTTATACTATCCATGTTCTTGCTTAGTTTCACGTGCACATCATAAACTTCTATGAAACACCGTCCTACTCTTTGTAGTGATGAACTTTAAAAAAATGAGCAGACACGCAGATACACACACACACACACACACACACACACACGTTTGGCAGATTTTCTGCACGGAAAAAGAATAAGGAAAACAAACAAACGAACAAACAAACCAAAATAGCCCGCGTTAGCGAGTTCGGTGATAATTTCAAGGAGGAAAGCCTTGGGTGGGTCTGAGAGGAGGAATTTCTGCAGAGTACAGGCTTGTTGTTTATCAAATCAGACATCTGTCCGCGACGGCCTGCGCAAGACCTGGGTAACTGTGTAATGTAATAAGCGTGTTTTCGTAAGTTATGCAAACACACAGCATTTGCACGAGGCCAGAACAATCTAATTCTCGCTCTTAATCCGGGCCCTGGTGACCAGCCCCGCCCGGCGGCGTTCCAGCCCGCAGCCTCGCGCCCCGCGCCCCGCGCAGCCCCCAGGTGAGTCCCGCGCGGCGCTCGCGGCTGTCGGGCCCGCGGGAGGGGCTGGCGTGGAGGCGGAGGGCGGGCCGCGGGGTGGGGGGAGCCGAGATCCGGGTCTTGACTGCAGCTTCCTCCCGGTGGAACCGCATTTCCAGCCGCCTCCGCAGCCCTAGCCCCAGCGCGGCGAGCCGTTCCAGGCCGTGCCGCCTGGAGGCGCGGAGCCCGCCCGGCGCGCCCAGCCCTGCAGCTCCGGCCGGGGCGGAGGCCGCCGGACCGCGGAGATGCGGGGCGGGGGCAGGGCGCGGGGTAGGTGACTTTATCCCGCCTCTGTTTCCCGGCCCCGGGGAGCAATGACATCACGCGGCCTTCTCCAGGCGCCGACACAAAGAGCGGCGCGGAGAGGCCGCTGCGGGGGTAGCCGGCGGCCGCCGCTGCCGTCCAGGGCCCCGGGCCCCCGCCGGCCAGGCCAGCCGCCCGCGGCCCGCGCCCCTGCTCCGTCGCCGCCGCCGTCCGCGAAGCCCGCGCCCCCAGCGCGCAGCTGAGCCCGCGCCGGGCCCTTCCCATGCGGGCGGCGCGGGCCCTGGGAGAGGCGCCCGCAGCCAGCCACGCAGCATGCACTGGGGGGTTGGCTTTGCCTCGTCCAGGCCGTGCGTGGTGGATTTGAGCTGGAACCAGAGCGTCTCCTTCTTCGGCTGGTGGGCCGGGTCCGAGGAGCCGTTCTCCTTTTATGGGGACATCATCGCTTTCCCTTTGCAGGATTACGGTGGGATCATGGCAGGGCTGGGCTCCGATCCCTGGTGGAAGAAAACCCTTTACCTGACCGGGGGAGCTTTGCTGGCCGCAGCTGCGTATGTGCTCCACGAACTCCTGGTCATTAGGTGAGCCGGAGAGAGGGCCCCGAGGAGGGGCAGCTGGTCAGGGCAGCGCTGGCGCCAGGGGGGACTCGTGCCAGCCCCTGGGTCAGGCCACTCAGATGCCCAAGAGTCCGACCCTTACCTTTCCCCAGTGGTGGCCCGTGGTCTCCTCGCCGTGCAGGGCACTTTAGAGTTGACAGGAGAATGACAGCGGTCTGGGAGGGAAGAACATTTGTCTCCCAGTCTTTTGGTGCTAGATGTAAAAATTTTCTGGGTTGTGTTGTCTTATGAAAAGCTCTTGCGGAGATCCTAAGTGCGGTGTGTTTGCAACAATAGAATTAGGCCCTGTAGAATACTAAGTTGCTTTTTAATGAATTGCCTTGTGTATAGGCAATAATACTCGTGTATTTACCACTCGCTTTATCTTTTACTTAACGGTTAGTTCTCCACCACCCTTCTTTGAATGTCAACATCACCACAAGGTTGAAATCGCAAAATCTCCAGAGACCTCTGGGTCCCTGTTAAAGATGCATGGCTAAGGTGCAGTTTTAATGCAGCCTGAACCTGGTTATTTGCTCATTTTGTATTGAAAGCTGGTCACCACGTTCAGTTTTAAATGCCATTGTTGTGTGAGCAGTAGAAGATCTGAGGACAGGACTAGCACATGGGCGGAGAAGATTGGAGTCGCCCAGTGCCATAAACAGTGCATCTTCTGCCTGCTGCAGAATGTTTACAGGATTAATTTGGAAATGGCAGAAAATGGACGCCCCTGCATCCAGCCTGATAGATGTTTGAGAAGGGCTATACCTTAGGCTCCTGGGAGGGCCCTTCAACTAATTGATACAGCAGCGTGAAAAGGTTGAAATAGCCATGCCTTTGAACCTTCTCAGTGGGAGACGATCAGAAACATTTTTCAGTATTCTTCTTGGCCAGTATTTTCTAAAGAGTGGGAAATGTATCCACATTTGCCTTTTTTCAGTGGGGAAATCCTACACAATAGATTATAAACAAATGCAGTGATGGGTGACCTTTAATAGGCTTGTGGGGATTCCAGGAGGACATGACGACTGCCTGCTTAGGTATTTTGGGTATTTCTCTTCTCTGACATGGAGAGAAATCATTAGGTCTGGGGAAATATATTGACTTTCATTGTGTTTAACCATAATTGAAAAGTATTGTTTTAAGCTTAGCATACATTGAATTATCCCATTTAGCACAATGCCTTGAAGATGGTTGAACTAAAAAAAAAATTTTAAGTGAATTATCTTTAGACTGTTTTATAGTTTTGCTAGTTTTAGAACTTTATTTCAAGAGACAGGAAAAAGTAAAACATTTATATAGCAACTTAAATGGTAGCCTCCTTGTTTTTCAATTATACCTTTTGAGGATCCTAAACCATATGGCTTCTCACCAGTTTTCCACTTTCTGAAGGGAATGAAGGCACAGCTAAACCTCGCTTAAATGACCTTGCAGAAATAGCAGGAATCTCAGAGCTCACCCTGGGGGCAGGCCACACCCTGGGAGGTGTGGTCATTGACTACAGAAAAGTGCTCTGCTCACACTTAGGACCTGCCCCTCTTAGGGGACTGCTTGGATACTTGTTTGGGCCAAGGCATTATTAATCCTTGGCTTATCCACTTTTATTTCTTGACAGATGCTTACATTGCATTGGAAAACCCGGTTATAATGCAAATAAAAATGGCTGCCCATCTTTGAACCCTTACTAGGCACTGTGCAAATAAGTGCTTTATATGCTTGATTGCACTTCTCCTTCACAACTCTTGTTGGATGCTTAGTCCCCATTTTATACTTGAGGAAATTTCAGCTGAGGGAGGTTAAGCTACTTGCCCAAGAGCACACAAGAGTGGTAAAATTTGACTAAAATCTGGGAATATGGGTCCCTGGAACCTGCACTTTTTACTGCTTCCTCCTAAAAACTTTGCAATAGGTTATGGTGGGGTGAGAGGATGAGGAATGTTGTGAACTGGGTGAGGCTCTGGGAGGACAGGTCTGACAGGGCCCTACGTTTCTGACAGCCTCTAGGAGCACAGAAGTATGGGAAAAGGCTGAGGGAAGTCAAGGACTGAGCTTCTCAAGGTTCTATGTTGACCTCCACTTAAGGTGAAATCTAAGTGTCAGTTGTCTGTGCAGTTTAGGTAAAACACAAAATAATCTGAAATATGCAGAATGGAAAATACTCCTTGAAATGGCTCTTCTGTTTGAGTTCTCTGGTAATTGTAAGGTTTTTAATCTTCCTACTTGGATTTTTTTGCCATAAAGTTGGCCAGTGAGAATTATTTAGGAAGTTTAATTAATGAGTATAACTAAAGTGGATATTTTGGATTTTACCCTCTTTTTTCCCCCACCACAATATTTTAAAACAAATATAGCCCCAGTCATTTACTTATATTCTCCCTGAGTAGAGATAGCCTAGCAGCTATCCTAAGTTCAGTTTGGCACTTGGAAATGTGCATTGTTTGTTGAATGAGGAAGTAATGACTTCCTTACTGGTAGCTCATTTGCACATTAGGCACTTAGGCTCAGCCTGTCCTAGAGAGCTTCATTAGGGAATGAGAGCACCATGAGTCAAAATCTAGTCTCCAAACACTGTCAGCCCAGCAGCTGTGCATACATACTGACATAGGAGTAGTAACTAGTCCTGCTGCTCTTTGGGTGCTCCCTTCTATTGCCCTCATTATAAGGCTCTTTATAAGCTATTACCATGCAGGAAGCAGCTCACTTGCTCTTATGATCCTAAGCTAGAAACAGGGTCCTGATGTGTGGAGGGAGCCAGACTGGATTCACATTCACCCTGCCTTTAACCAGTTTTATAACCTCGGCTATGAGGGTAAATGTCTTGGCTACTCAGTTTTCTCATCTGTAAAATGGGATAATCTGTAAAATGGAGAGTTCAAATGAATGAGTTAACACATCTAAAATGCTTAACAGAGTTTGACATGTAATGAATATTTAATAAAAGTTGGCTATCAATAGTTATTATATATTTTCATCAGAAATTTCCAGGCTTGAGTGGTCTGAGTCAAACTGACTATTTTAATAAAATTACCTGAGGTAGTGCCCATTTCAATGTAGTTGAAGTACTTAAGAGTTTGGGAGTGGAAGTATTTTTTTTTTAAAGATTTATTAATTTATGCACACAAGATTGGGGTACAGAGGTATGAGGGGTGAGAGGATTCACCAGAGACAGAGTGAGGAGCAGAACAGGCAGACTGACTGAAATACACTGCTGAGGGGAGCAGCAGGAGACAGGAGAGGTCTGCTGGGCCATGTGGGTAGCTCCCTGGTTGGGGATCGAGCTCATGCTGCAGTGGCTGAGGAGAGCTTCATAGGCTTTCCTTTTTTTTTTTTTTTTCAGATTTATTTATTTATTTATACATACAGGCACTGGGTACAGTCAGAAGCGCGGGAGGGTGAGAGAATTCACCAGAGCCAGAGCGGGGAGCAGAGCAGTCAGAAGGGCCGAAGTACACTGCTGAGGGGAGCAGCGGGGCAGCAGGAGTGGTCTGCGCGCCATGTGGGACCCTCCTCCGGTGGCCACGGAGCAGCCGGGGATCGAAACTGTGCTGCAGAGGCTGCGGGCAGCTTCGCAACCCAGTGCTCAACCGCTGCGCCACCGGGGAGGCCCATTCATAGGCTGTCTTAACCCCTTGTGCCACCAGGGAGGCCCTGGGAATGGAAGTATTAGTGACTTTATCTTAAGATGATATTTAATATCATTCCCTAATAAACTTGGGCAAGTTATTTAACCTCTCTGAACTTCAGTTTCCTTGTCTACTGTGAAATATAAGTATAATATATACTCAATTTAAGCTGTAACACTCTCCACTCTATAGTGTTACTGTCAGAATAAAATAAGTTAATATATATGATGTAAACTAAGCCTCTGCCATGTGCTTGTCAGTTAGCTTCTATTTTGTTTTATGTGGTTCAAGTTAATCAATGCGATTAGATTGTTCTAGCTGGTGGAGCAGAGGACATTTAATCTCTTCTCCTTTCAGTTATTAAAATTTTGCCCAGCTAATTGACATGAATTATTTGACTAGATAAAATCACTTACTTAATTGTCACGTCCGCACTTTGCGCTGTCTAGGAACATAGTCCAAGTGGCCGCTTAGTTTTACTCTCTGACCTCCCTCACCCAACATTTCATCTAATAAATGAAAACTTGTTTTTGTTTTTATTCAGCAAGTATTGCCAGAAAGCAGCAATTAAAAATTTTTCTTTGACTAGTATTTTTCCAAATGAGTCATTCCTTACTCTTTAAATGCAATGGGTACTCTGGCAGTAAACTCCAGAAGAGTTTGTTTTACCTACCGAAAAGGAGACAGTGCAGTAAGAGAGCAGCTCTTGCGTGATGATGATGCGAAGAGCTTGCCCTTGCTTGCTCTGGTAGAAGTAGATGTGGGATTAACTTAGAATGGTATAGGAGAATCGGAGGCCCAGGGCACGCCAAGGCAAGAGTGAGGTTCAGCAGATGGGGAAATCGTTGGGTAGAGTCAAAGATGGAAATTGCAAAAGGTCCTAGGAAGGTGGTATATGGGTTAGGTCTGTGAAGAATGATGAGATTTTTGTAGCTGTCTCTGAACAACTGAACAAGAATCAGTTCCACCACTCTTACCTAATGCTTTATAGTTCACCAAATATTTATGCAGTACTGTCTTGCTTTCTGTGTGAGAGGAGGAGCAGTCTAAGGTAACATGGACCCTGGGAAGCAGCAGGGCTCAGACGTGACCCCAGCTGTCTACACTAGGAGCCCAGCATTTCTTCTTACTACCACATGGTGGTTATTGAAAAGTTCTCCCTACCCAAAAAAGTCTACGAGGGAAAAATGGATGTGTAGGTTAGAGAAGAAAGTGAAAAGCAGGCCTACTAAGATCCTTGCGGCATGGTGAAACTGGGGCCCTGTGTAGGCAGAGAGAATGAGAGCTTAGAAGCCTACCTAAGGTCTTCACACCACAGGTGAAAGGCCAGAATATTGAGGCTCAGGTTTCCTGCAGACTTGGTTCATGGTAGAGTAACTGCCCTGTTACTCCAGGGTCCTATGGGTGCACAAATTGTTTGATGGTACAAGCTAGTGGTCCAGAGCATAAGCTCTGACTACCTGGTTCATTCCAGATTCTGCTTTTAAACAACACTGTGACTTTGGGCAAGTTAATCCTCCATGCCTCAGTTTCCTCATCTATAAAATACAGATAACAATAGTACCTATCTCATCAGGGACTGTTGTAATAATAAAATGAGATTATGCTTGTGAAGCTCTCAGAGCAATACCTGACGTATAGTAAGCACAGACTATCATTTTTATCCATCTGCATTGTCCCTGGCAGGTAGACAGCCAGCTGGAGAAGAGGTGAACCTGTACCAGAAATTTCTCTTTCTGCCCGTAGTATGCAGGTAACAGAGGAGATTGACATAGAAGTACTTATCTGAGCCCTTAGGGTTGTGGTCATGTCAGAGATTGTGAGGGTCTCTGGAGTTTAGGCTAAGCTTCCACTCTAAGTGTTTGCAGCTATGGTAAGCCCCTAGCCAAACAGATCTGCTTGTTTTTCAAGGAGCTACACCCCACCGAGGACCTCTGGGAAACCCAGGGAACTGACTGTATAACACTTGGATTGTTCTTTATTTCTGTTTTGGTTTTGACAGGAAACAGCAAGAAATTGACTCCAAAGATGCTATTATTTTGCATCAGTTTGCAAGACCTAACAATGGTGTTCCCAGTTTATCACCTTTCTGTTTGAAAATGGAAACTTATTTAAGGATGGCTGACTTACCCTATCAGGTACTTGTGTGCATATGTTTTTTTCTCATGGTATAATATTAGTTAGAGGAGGAGTATTTTATTTTATTTTATTTTTTAATATTTTATTTTATATAATGCTTACATCATTTTTCATCTTTGTACAATGTATGCATTTTCGTTTTGGTTATATTCCCCAGACAATTGCACCCCCCCCTTATTTTGACTCTAGTTCTTCCTCTAGAGGGAGAGTATTTTAATATCACATGGTGGGAAGGACTTGTTCTTGGTGCTAGACGGAGTAGGTATAAGGGTAGAGTAGCAGTGCCCAGTTCCTAGTAGATTCTCAGGGAACTGGATTTCCAGGTCTGCTGATTTTTACATGCAATTTAATGAGGGACCCAGATTGTAGACTTAAGGAGGGCTCAGCGCCTTGTTGTTTTCCCTGACATAGAGTATACTTTGGTTAATATTAATAATTCCAATAGGCCTACCCGGGTGTGCCATTGCCTGGTGTGTTTTTTTTCCTTTGGGTTTCTATTTATTGACAGCATTATATTTTGTCTCTCATAACTCCCGAGGGCTTAGCAGCCCACTGGGGAGATATTGTCGATTCTGTGAGAGCTTTTCTCTCACAGTACCCCGTGTTCTGTTTGAGTGACTTTCAGGGAAACACTTGCTCACTTCAGCATTACAGAATGAACTGAGGAATAAATTTAAACATTTTTCTTCAAGTAATGAATTGAGCTATGTCTCCCAGATTTGACAGTTTTTATTTTGGTTGTCACTCAGTTCTGTGTATTTAAAAAAAAATTCTGTTTCTCCTTTTCATCTAAATTCTAGCCATATGCAGTTTTTTAAAGAAGCTTTGACTTTTGTTATGTTTTTTTTTTTTAATTTTATGGTCTCTGTGATGTTTAATTCCTTGGAATGTACTGAGGCTTTAGCCCTATGTGTGGCTACTTATTATAAAGGTTGAGAATGATTACACATTCTCTGTTTGGGCCTAGATCTTTCTACGCTTACTTACTTGAGCATGTATAGTATTTTATTTAGATCTTCATTTTTGCTTTCTTCTTGTCTGTCTGTTCTAGAAGTTTCTGAAAGGAATAGGCTGAAATACTTGTATTTGTAGATGTTTTTCCTTTCCTGCCCTTCCTTGCTTAATGCATGAACTTGCTTAAAGCATGAAGAGAATACATGCAGTTATTTTGTTAGGTATATATAAAATGAAAGACCCTATCTTTCACTCCTTTGTTTCTTTGTAGTATGAGTCACTCATCTCTTCTTGCTATGATTTTTTGTAACCTTGAATTCTGTGTTATCAAATATTGAGGTTGATGCTCCAGCTTTCTGTTCATGTTTGCTTGGGACATCTTTATTCATCATCTATCTCAATTTTTGTTTAATTGTCCATTATGGGCAATACATTGTGCTGTTGGAAAAGTCATGAGGTATTTTTTTGCTTGAAAAACTTAGAAAAAATACGTCATGACTTTTCTGACAACCCGGTATTACTTGTAGCCAAGCTGAGAGACCTTTTAATTAGTGAATTTAATCCTTTTACACTTGCAATAATTGTTTTACTAGAAGTTATTTGTAACATTTGTTTTCTCCTTATTTTACTTATTTTTTCATTTCCAGCTCTCTAGTGGATAATTATATTTTTCTTTTTATTTAAAACAGATTCTATTTTTGTTACAGTGGTTGTTCTTAAGATTCCAATTTATGTTTATTTGTGTTTGCTTCTTAAGTGTATCAGATTCTGTATTTGCTCTGTAATGATACGTGTGTTAAGAGTCTTAGGTGCCTCCCAGAACTCATCCCAGTTGTGTAGCTACTATTAATGTTTTAATTTTGGAATTTGAAAATTCTGTCTCTTTATGTTGGTCCTTTGTTAGATAGGGAACCTTGCTAAGTTATTTGACTAGCCTTATTTTCCACATATTCTATTCCACAGCATTTAACATTCTGAGTACTTCATGATGAAAATTTTCAAAATTTTGCCTTTATGGGGCAAACCTTCAGTGGCTTTGTATGCCTGGTTATGTCCTCACATTTAATAATTTCTTTTTTTTCCAAAGATTTATTTATTTTATTTATACAAGCACTGGGTACAGTCAGAAGCTCGGGAGGGTGAGAGAATTCACCAGAGCCAGAGGGGAGAGCAGAACAGGCAGACTGATGAAGTACACTGCTGAGGGGAGCAGCGGGCAGCAGGAGAGGTCTGCGCGCCATGTGGGACCCTCGCCCGGTGGCCCAGGATCAAACCGGCACTGCAGAGGCTGTGGGCAGCTTCACAACCTGGCGCTCAACCGCTGTGCCACCGGGGAGGCCCTAATAATTCTATTTCAAAGTTCTTTTCCTTCAATACTTAAAAAATAATATTCCATTGTCTTTTTTGTATTGATGTTGCTGTTGAAAAATCTGATGCTAATCTGAATCTTGCTCTTTGATCTGCGAGCTTTTAGAATTTGTGTTTAATCTTAACATTCTTATATTTCACTATAATGTGACTTGATGTGGGTCTCTATCTTGTTGGGTCCTTTATAAATGTTTTTAAATGAGGTCTTCATCTCATTTTAATTCTGGGATATTATCAATTTTCTTCAACTATTTCCTTATTCTTTTTAATATGTTTTTCCCTTCTTCTTTCTCGTTCCCTGTTATTAGATACTGAAACCTTATGTCCACTTTTTTTCTCCCTTTGGGCAGAATTCTCCTTTTTGAACTTGGGTCGCATTGCTCTGTTCTTTTCTTATATTGCTTGTGCTGTCATGCTTTTTATTTTGACACTTAATTTCTTTTTTCTTAACAACTCCCCTTGGTTTGTATTACTAATTTCTTCCTTTAGCTCATGGAGGGTATTCATTATGCTAATTAAAATAGTTTGCTCTGTCCCGGTAGGTCTGCTTCATCTTGTGTGTATTCAGTCTGCTGCCCTTCCCTTATACAAGGTGTTCATCTCAGGTGTCTGGTTATTTTGGTTTGAGAGCTCCTTTTACCAGTGATATCAGCTTCCCTGCCTGGGAATTCCTACTGGACCAAGGCTAAAGGTTAGCCCACAGATTGTGTTCCTCAAGGGAACTCCCCAAGGGAGTTTAAGAAAAGGAAGGAGGTGAGCGCCAGACTTCCTCAAGCCTCTGGTTCCTTTGGTTTGCAGCCACTCCTCCCAATGGTTCCACTGGTCTGGGGTCCACCTTTGAGCTCTTACAAGGTCGCAGTACTGGAAGCAGGTGGTCTCCTTAGGTGGCGTCAGAGTAGCTAGGAGGTGGGAAAGGTGGGGGGGCCTCCTCAGCCAGTCAAGGTTTGGCTGCTCTGACAAGCACATTCATCACCCCTGCATCTCCTGACTTCACATAGCCTGTTCTTCTGACCCAGTTTCTTGACAGAAGAGGGCATGGGGCTGTGGTCCTCCCAAGGCAGTGCGCGTTCGAGGTGGTTGGCAGGCACTCAGTGTGGTAGGGATGGTTATGGAGGTCCTCTGGCAATGTAGTAGGCAGCAAACAACCTCAGGTGGGGAGAATCAGGGAGGGCATCGCATGCTTAGGGCACAAAGAATGGTCTTTATTACTGGGAGCTGGCACACGGAGGGTGAGACTGGAGACAGAAGAAGGGAGATTCTATGGGAATTTCTAAACCAGCAATGGAGGAGAAAATAGCAGTGGAAACAGACAAAGCTTGAATCATCTAACTGCACTGGATCAGATTGGAAAAGTCATTGTTCACTTGGTGTCGGCAGGCTGCTCTTTAGGAGCTGTGTCCTGAGGGCTCAAGTCCAGGGAAGAGACTGCTCCTCAGCAGCTGCCTGTCTCTAGTGCACTGCTACTCTTGGCCAGTCGACCTCTTTGGCCATGACAGCTTTGGGTCATGTAGCGTCCAAAACCGGGGTTTGGGCTCTGCTGGCTCTGACTAATTTTATGATTTTGTGTGTCCCCTCCTTGAATGAGGTTTTCTGTTTGCAGAGCCTGCAGCAGCTGCCAGACAGTTCTTCTCTTTGCTGTCTTGGCTTCTAGCCGGCAAGTACTCGTTACCCGATTTACCAACAGCCTGACTGCCTTGTTCATGGTTCAGAGTAGCTGCTATTAGTGATTAGGGCAGGAGCAGCAGGACACTTGCCTCACTGTGAAATTTAAAGAATGCTAGCCCCGTCCAAAATTATTATTTCCTAAGCTTATTTTTTAAAAAAGGAATGCAGAGGAGTATTATCTGTTCTGTGAGGTCTCTATGAAAAATAAATGGAGAGCTCAGTGGGTAGCAAAGAGTTTTGGTGAAAGGAAAATGGTTTTCTGTGGTCTAGAAAAGGCTGCGCTCTGCCTACCGAGGTGCCTTGTGCCCTGAGTGCCATCATGGAGGGCTTGTGTTGATGTGTGCGGTGCTTGGGGAGTGCTGGTAGAGCTCATTTCTCAGCTTCTCAGTACAGAAGTGTTTAGTCATGGACCCAGGAAGCCTCCCTCTCACCCTTCTTTGCCCTGTGCCTTTTTAAAAAAGATGAAAATACCATGTTCTCAAGAGCTTTATATTTGAAGCTTTATATTTGAAGCTTTTTTATTTTTTAACTCAGATGAGACTGTAATAAATATTTGATTGGTAGGAACTCCCAAGCTTTTTTTAAAAGCTAGATATGTTGTCACAGTTACTATTTTTTTTAAAGATTTATTTTATTTGTCTATGCATACAAGAGCCGAGATATAGGCCAGAGGTGCGGGCAGTGAGAAGATTCACCAGAGACAAAGTGGGGAGCAGAACAGGCAGATCTACTGAAATTCACTGCTGAGGGGAGCAGCAAAGTGAGACAGGAGAGGTCTGCTGTGCCGTGTGGGTCAGCTCCCTGACCAGGGATTGAACTTGTGCTGCAGTGGCTGCAGAGGCCCCAGTTACTATTTTTTTTTTAATTAAGATATAAATTTGGTAGGTCAACTTAAAAAACCTTTATTTTATAATTATGGATTCATAGGAAGCTGCAAAAAAAGGAGGGTCTATTGACTTGGTTAAGTTTTTTTTTAAAAATAAAAATAACTTTACTCTTTTGATACTGAGCCAAGGGGTTGCTGCTTGTTCCTCTCACAAACCAATATATATGACACCTGCATTTTGATAGAAGAAAGTGTTGAATTGCAGAGATGACTGGCAACAAAGCGGAAACCCAAGCTCAAATCTGTTTTTCCATTCAGGAAAGGGAAGGGGATTTGTGTATTTTTAGGGAATGGGGTAAAGAATGAAAGAGTTGAAATTTTTTTTAAAGATTTATTTGTTTATGCATACAGGAACTGGGGTACATGTCAGAGGTGTGGGAGGGTGAGAGGATTCACCAGAGACACAGTGGGGAGCAGAACAGGCAGATTGACTGAAATACACTGCTGAGGGGAGCAGTGGGTGAGACAGGAGAGGTCTGCTGCACCATGTGGGTTGTTCCCTGGCCGACCATTGAACTTGTGCTGCAGAAGCTGTGGATTGCTTCATAGTGCAGTGCTTAACCCTTGCGCCACCAGGGAGGCCTGAAAGAGTTGAATTTTATTAGCTAAGGAGTGGGCTAAGGGTGAGGGAATGTGGACTTGGCTGAAGTCTATTGGAGAGTTACAAATTAAAGAGGAGAGATCTTCCTTTAAATGACTGGGTCTCCTTAGTGGGTGGACCCCTCCCCACTAAGTGTGGCCCAGGTAGTTCTTTTTCCTGTCTTCTTTCAACATCCTATTGGTTTGACCCAATTTGGAGTTTAAGGTCAAAGCCTTTGTGAATGGTGTGACTCCTACCTGGGGTTACACCCTGTTACTTCTGTGAAACAAACTCAAAAGATAGTTAACTAAACCTATCCCTACTGATGGTGGATTGGCCATGGTGTCACTTTTTTTTTTTTTTTTTTTTTTTTTTTATAGAGGCATGCTTTATTTATTTGTTTGCTGGTTTGTTTGTTTGTTTTGTTTATACATGCACTGGGTACAGTCAGAAGTGCGGGAGGGCGAGAGAATTCACCAGAGCCAGAGCAGGGAGCAGAGCAGGCAGAAGGACCGAAGTACACTGCTGAGGGGAGCAGCGGGCGGCAGGAGAGGTCTGCGCGCCATGTGGGACCCTCCTCTGGTGGCCGGGGAGCAGCCGGGGATCGAACCGGCGCCGCAGAGGCCGCGCGCAGCTTCGCAACCCAGCGCTCAACCGCTGCGCCACCGGGGAGGCCCTGGTGTCACTTTTTTTGATTACATAGAAGTGACATAGTCTGTATTAAGAATTTCAAACAATAGGGCCTCCCCTGGTGGCGCAGCGGTTGAGCGCTGGGCTGCGAGGCTGCCCGCAGCCTCTGCAACACCGGTTCGTTCCCCGGCCGCCGGCGAGGGTCCCACCAAAAAAATAAATAAATAATAAAAAATTAACATTTAAAAAAAAAAAAAAGAATTTCAAACAATACAAAAAAGTGGAAAAACAAAATCCTACCAGCTAGAGATTACATCACTGGTATTTTTGACATCTTTCCTTCTAATTCTTTAGACATAAAGGCACCTACATCCTTTGGCACAACTCATTATATCAGAAGTATGTATTCACTCAATACTTTTTTTTTAATTAGAGAAATTAAAAAAGAAAGAAAATGGTTCCTTTGGGACTCTGCTTTGGCTCTCAGCCCTCACTTTTGATACTTTTTTTTTTGCTGATCTTGTCTTTTTTCCCAATTTTTTTTGAAGTTTTTCTAAGCTGCAGGCAAATTAAAATAAAGTAGAGTGAACACCCATAAAGCCATCACCTAGATTCACTGATTGTTATGTCACTCTCTTTGCTTTATTTCTCTTTATATATACTTTCCTGAACTTTTTTTTTGATGAATCATTTGAAAGTATGTGGAAATCATGACATGACTCCTCACTACTTCAGAGTGCATTTCTTCCACAAAACTACAATACATAATGGATGCATGTTTTTTTCCCCAATGTATTATAATCCACAACAGCTGCTCAAATTATCTCAAATTTAGTCAGCAGACCTTTCAAGATGGATACAAGGATGTGGTGAATATAATGGATATAAATTTAGCTGAAAAATTGGGGGTGTTATGACTAGTGGAGCAAATTGGAGTTGCAAGATTCTGGGATTTCTTTTAAAATCTCAAGTTCTCCAACTCAAAGTGGTGATTTTGATGATAAACTTCTGATGGAGGTACTTTATCAAACACTTCATGGATATCTTCTCATTTCATCTTAGCAACTGGTTTTGTCTCCATTCTTTAGATCAGGAAATTGAAGGCCAGAGAAGGCCAAGGTCACAGTGAATAAATGAGGGAGCCAGAACTACAAACCCAAAGCCTATGGCTCTCACTGCTGTGCTAATAATGCAGTGTGAGTGTAGATGCTTTAATCTGGCATAGCCTTGCAGGGGAAAACATCAACTTGGGAAAAATCTAGAGGATTTACCTCTTCATCTTTTTTCTCAAAATTAAACTACTCTTGGTATACCAGTTAACGCCAGTTGCTTAAATAAAAATAGACTAGGCATTCTTTAATATATTTAAAGATTTTTTAGGATGGATAGGACATTGCAGAGGATGGGGAAAGAAATTACTGTAAAAGATAAAAGGGATACAAAAATCAGAGGTGACAAAGACCTTGATTGGGTATTGGATATTGGGATTCAGGAGACAGAATTTAGGATACAGAATTCAGGTGGGTGGTGGCTAGATGGTGTGCGCCTAACTGTCTGTGAAGGGGGTTAAGACTAGATCCACTAAAGCCACTGGAGACTTTTTTAAACTAGTGTTTCTGTGGTTTAATTTTTATATTAAGATCTATTTGGAATTTTAAGATAAAAATCCAAATTCCCTTCTCAATGTTATCTATATATATAGGTATTTATAAAAAATTGGCAAATTTGATATTGATTAAAAAATATAAATATTCATTTATTGAATAAACCATCATATCTTCTGCTGATATGAAAAGTCACTTGTATCACATGCAAAGTTTCTATGTGGACTTAAGTCTCATAAGATACACAATGACCAATAAATATGAAAGATTGGTCAGACTCACCAGTGCTTTTAAAATGCAAATTTTAAGATTAAGTAATTTTTTTCTCATTTATGAGCTTGGCAGTAGCCCAAACATTTATCAATATTGAGTACTGGTGAGGATGCAAAGAATAACAAGTATGTTTGTACATATTTAAAGGAAATTTAATAAATTGGTCCAAATCCATTTTTTGTAGAGGAATTTTTTTCTATAAAGCATTTATAATAGTGCCTAGTACATAGAATGTATATTATAGAAGGGTTTGTTATTACCATCATTAAAATAAAAATTTTAAATGAAAATGTGTATGTCCCTTATCTAGGAATTCTAGATGTTTCTCCTACAGTGAAACTTGTACAAATAGATTAATATTTACATGGTTATATCTACATTAGTCATACAAGAATATCCCATACAGTATTTTAGGTAGTAAGAAAAATAATGAAGAATCCCAAGTGCTCATCAAGAAGGATTACAATATTATACATTCATTTAAAGAAAAGAGGTAGAACACATTTTAGTAACAAATTATGTGCAGATTTATCATTAAGCAAAAGTGGAAATTTTTACATATTATATAATATATATGTACATACCACACAAGTCATTTTCAAAACTAAAATTTGTGTAGTTTGTAGATGCATAGAAAAACTTAAATGTAAGCATTATGTTTTCATATATCTTTGATTTATAAGAACCTTTTATTTTTCTAATGACTATTGAGAAGACAGTATAATGTTGAAGAATAATGTTACTATAAAGTTGTTCATAACTGCACCATCCTAATGCAACTATGTCAATTTCTGACCATACTATGTTATGTTTTTCTAGGTAACTAGTGTGAGCTGTCTTCCCATCCATTATTTCAATTAACTTTACATTTTTTCTGAAGAAATATTGTAAGCCAAAGTTAACTCAGTAAAATTAAAACAATTTTAAAAAGAAATAAAATTAAAATGAGCAAAATAATAAGAGTATATAGAACAATTTACAATAAAAAGGGTATGATTACAAACAAAAAATATTGCAAACATATGGAAAATACAGAGAATAATATAACAGATCATATACCTTCAACTTAGATTTGCCATTTTACCATTTTTAAACCCTTAGGAATTTTGAGCATCAGAGGTCTTCTGTCCTATTTGCATTTCAAGCAGTTCCCTCTGATGGCAGTGGAGGATATATTGCATCTGCAAATGACAAGAGTCCAGAAGGAGAGGTATTAAGAGGGCTATGAGTGTTATCAAGAAAAATCTGAAACAGATGCAAAGTTAGGTGGTAAATTTACATCTTCAGTATACAAATTACGAGAATGTCAGATGTACCTGCAACTTTTAAAGTAGGTTGGCATTTATCATGGTTTATTTTCACTTTTTTGCATTTCTGGATTATTCATACATTATAACTAGACTATTACCAGGGTCATTTCAACACTCCTCTTCCCTGGCCTTTTTTATTTGTTGTTTTATTTATTATTATTTTTAAACAATAAGCCAGATCCCTTGATGAAATCTATGGGAGTAATGGGAGTAAAATAATATCTTCTTGTAGTTTTCTTTTTTCAGGAGTAACCATTTATTCTCTTTCAAGAATTGATGTGCTGAGTTTACTCACTGGAATCATTTTCTCACTATTCAAGTGTGAAGTCATGGTTAGAAAGTTTGCTTCTGTTCGTCAGACAATGAAATTTAAATAAAACAATGCTTTTCTCTTTTTAAAATTTACCCTGCTTAGAACTATTTTGGTGGAAAACTCTCTGCTCAAGGGAAAATGCCTTGGATTGAATATAATCATGAAAAAGTTTCTGGCACAGAGTTCGTAATTGACTTTCTGGAAGAGAAGCTTGGAGTGAATTTAAACAAAAACCTCGGCCCTCATGAAAGAGCCATCTCCAGAGCGGTCACCAAGATGGTAGAGGAGCATTTTTACTGGTGAGTCCCCCTCCTTCAGAGTGAGCCCCAGTTCTGTTTCAATTTTCAGGCCCCTCCCCTGCCCTGTCAAAAGTTTTCTTAATGTAACCGAGATGGGTTTAAAGTTGTGACTAAGGGGCCTCCCCGGTGGCGCAGCGGTTGAGCGCTGGGTTGCGAAGCTGCCCGCGGCCTCTGCGGCGCCGGTTCGATCCCCGGCTGCTCCCCGGCCACCGGAGGAGGATCCCACATGGTGCGCAGACCTCTCCTGCCACCCGCTGCTCCCCTCAGCAGTGTACTTCAGCCCTTCTGCCTGCTCTGCTCCCCGCTCTGGCTCTGGTGAATTCTCTCACCCTCCCGCGCTTCTGACTGTACCCAGTGCATGTATAAACAAAACAAACAAATATAATAAATAAATAAAAACATGCCTCTATAAAAAAAAAAAAAAAAAAAAGAAAACATATAAAGTTGTGACTAAGTTTCCAAGTATCTGGACCAGAGGTGGGCATTTTCTATAGCAGGCTGGCTGGCACAGCCTTTCCCACGAATGTCTTTAGAGTAACTAATCAACTCTGCCATCGTGTTACAGGCCAGGGAGAGGGGCACCTCAAACCCCCAAACCTACCCACTCTGAATTGGTTCTGCCATCCACCACATCAAGACAAAACATATTCTAGTGTGTAAGACCTTCAGTGGAAAGGAACTTTAATACAATTAGTGTGCAATACAGAAAAGGGGAAGAACGGGGAAAATAGAGTTTCCAAATCAAGCACCCAAAGTCATCCCTCGTGGATAAATGCTCAGCCAAATAGGGTTGCCCCAAAGCAGGGCCTCTAAGGCCCGAAAGCCTGCCACAAGTCTAAGCCACCTTCTGGTGGGGAATCCATAGAAAAGGGTCAAAAATGGCCAGCCAAGTCTGAAAGGAAAAGAGAAAAATCAAAATCAAGATAAAAGCTGCCATAATTAACCTCCCCACAGGTCTCTCACCCACATCTGTTTCAACCATTCTAGGACCAAAAAGCAAGTACAGCTTCTTCACATGTCTCTCTGCTCCATGTGCCTCCCCCAGGTCTCCTTGCTCTCCATCCTGCTTTCTCCATTCCTTCCCCAGTCCCCTCTCCAGCTTCTTCTCCTCCCAGCCCAGCTCCACCCTTCGTTGCTTGGGACAGGGAATCTGGAAACTCCCCTTTTCCTGGGGACCACCCTGTTATAATGGCAGTGCAAGAGCAGCCATAGGTGAAATGCAGACGTATAACCCTGACTTTCCACAGAGCAGTAAAAGCACTAATGTTTGAATTTTATTTAATACAAAATGTTATTTTACTTTTTTAAAAATTTTTCCTCGACCTTTAAAAAACATAATTAACTTCTTAGGTTATGGGCTGTAGTTGGTTGACACCTCATCGAGACTGGATGTCTTGAGGTGAGGGAGATATTTCAGTTAGTTGGGCTTTTTAAAACTGACAAACTGCTGAATTAAAGTGATAATAAAAAGCAGATCCCAGAGGAAGGGACAGAAGAGTCACAATAGAAATCAGAGGTGGAGGAAAGGATGCAAGCTTTGTGGGATCACTGTTCATTTACCTTTCCATGACAGGAGCTTCTCTGTGTTCCAGAGAAGACACACTTCTGCTTTTTGAATGTTTTTGTCCTCCTTGCCTGGCTCCTAGCTTGTGTTCTCCGAGTCTGACATGTCACACACGCACTGTGGACGTGCTGCTTCTGCTCTAGACATGGCATGCCTTGGCTGTGCCACCTGAGTCCAGCAGACATGGGTGGTTCTTCTTGCTTGACATCCTCATTGTCATGTGGGCTTCTTTCTTTTTTTTTTTCCATCATTATCTGGAACTTTAGCACCTCTCTATATATCCCATTAGATACATTTTCTTCCTAATTTTGGAGCAAATTTTACCTTGCTCCAAAGATTAATTAAGAATGGTTAAGTCACTTTTTTTTGCATTATTATTAGTACTCTTGAGTCTTTTGCTCACTTGCTAGCTTTCTCTCCCCAACTGAGAGAACATTCAGTGTGGGGTTTATTCTTGGAGGGTCTTTGCCATCACCTTCCTGTTTCATCCATTCATCTCTCTTTTTCAATGTAAAACTTGCTGTTCTTGGCTTTTAGATTTCAAGAGTCCTCTGCTTTTCCTTTCCCTTCCTGCTTTTGGTTCTTGCCTGATTTATTCCGGAACTGACCTGAGGCACCACTTTCTTGCTGTCTTCTGCAGGTGAAGGGGTGGCAGCAAGGAGGGAGCAGGCAGAGAGTGATGATGGGGTGGAATAGGCAGTGTTCCTGGGATGAATCTGGGTCTCAGAGCACCTGTGTGCTCCTGCCTCAAAGTATATGGGTTGCAGTGTGGAGCAGACCTCTTGGCTGCCTGTGACCTGCTAGCCTCATGGAAAAGCCTTTTGGCACTGAGCCCATCAATGGAGGGAAATGAAAAGTCAGTACTGGGCCCCTCTCCACCCACCCCTCCAAAGCACAAACTAATTTGATTGATGGCCCATTAATGTGGAGAGCAAGTGCTTTGTCAGCTTCCTGAAAGGCTCTACATTTTATCTGGTTCTTTTGCTACAACCCTTTGATTTCTGTAGTGGTTCATAAATTTATATTTAGTTAGAAAGAATAATCTAGTAAGATTCCCAATTACCATGTGTCATTGCTTCTTGCTCTGAGATGTGTGTTTACTCCTCGGTAGAAGTTCATTTTCTGCTCTTCCCTTCCTTTGTTTTTCTACTTGGACCCCAGCTAATACTTGTTGGTAGGGGGGCATCAAGGGAGGGAGAAATGGGTGGTGGTGGAGGGGTAGGAGGGGGAATTGGGAGTTGGTACCATGTAAGGAAGAATCTTAATTTTGCCAACCACAACCCCACAAGTGCTTGATTGGGTACATGGGTCATTCTAGACTTTTCTAAAGATAATTTTATTTCTATAATTTTAAGTTAAAAATAGTTTTAAGGGTGTCTACTGGAAGGCAGAAATAGTGAAGGTGGTTGATCGAGATGCAACTATGATGGTCTAGATTGAGATACACATATCCTGTGAACTTTCAAAATAACATCCCTAATTCCTCCACTTCCCTTTGGTCCCTGGTAGTAGAAGGAAAAACATGACTTTCTCTGTATAGTAAGCTTTCCAAAATTTTGGCAATCTATTGCTTGGTGAGACTCTATTTCCCAAGAGCTCAAATCTCAATGGAGAAAAAGACTCAAGAAAATTCTTGAGTCGAAGAATTTGAACACCCCTCCTACCAGCCCCCTTCTTTCCCTTTCCTGTAACCCAAGTCACACAGAGAATATGCATCTGTGAACACTGGGGGCCAACCTGGGGAACTGACCAGAATATGTAGGAAAATATTAGAAATATAATCTTTCCGTGAGAGCTTGTTAGATCCTGAGCACTGATGAGCTCTGAGGCCATCTGTACACTTTGATTTGGTTGATTGAATAATCTGGAGTTTTCAGATAAGTTTATTTTGGTCTGAACCTTAAAAATACTCCACTTACGATTTTCTGAAAAATCAAAGCCAATGGAGAGCTATCATGATATAATGTTATAGTTTTGAAGCTCTGTTTTACATCTGCTCAAAAAAGCACACTCGGTGACAAAGTAGTTTTTCTTGTACTTGAAATTCATACAGTTACGTCCCACTTATATAATAAAGCTGTTTTTAAGATGGAGGAAACAGGTTCTTATCCCCTTTGTTTCACTAAATGCTTAGATGTCTTGCAAGGATGCCTGTATGAAGAGACGTGTGAGAGACTCACATTACTTAAATGAAATTGATTTTACTAATAGACACTGTGGCTTCTTCTGTGTCACATGCTGCCCCCCTGTGGACACCAGTGCGTATCTTAATAGTTTTCCCACACCATGGGAAGTGGGCAGGACACTGCTGTAAAACTCTCCAATCCTAACATGTTCATCCATAAAAATGTAGGCATTAAAACAAGGAACTCAAATTCACTCAAAATTTTGAACTTTTGAGTTTGACTTTGATGTGGTCTCAGTGAATGGGGCAGGTGGGATGCTTTAATGAAATGACTACCCCAAATCTTTAAAAGCCAGGAGACATTCCCTGATTATAACTCAGTTGACTTACTTCTCTTTTTGTTCTTGTGTTCCCTCCTCCTTCTGGTTTCAGATGTAGTGAGGACTCCTGTTTAGGGAGGCTGATCTAATCTAATGCCTGTGAAACTTAGTGAAATTATGGAAGCTTATTATGGCCTCTGCACCCTTGAGCATTTAGAGTACAAGTTAAAGATGACAAGCTTGTGGCAGAACTCCGAGAAAAGCACTCTCTTTATGGGAAGACTGCACACTAGGCTTTATACATCAAACAGTTGTTTGCCGTGATTTGCAGTTTCCCGCTACTGGTTTCTGCTGTGGGCCAGGCCTCATGTTAGAGATTTCTTCATTAAGACATCAGGAGTTCTCTTGTGTTTCCTCTCTTCTTGATCTCTTTTAAAAATGCCTGAGCAGGGCTTATTCTTCTGTTCTGAGGTAATCAATCTTAAAAAAAAAGCAAAACTCCTTGACCCCATTTTGCAGGCGAGATCAGATATATCAGCTGCAATAAAGACTGTATCAACTTCCTGGGAGAATGATAAATTATTTTAATTGCTCAGCCCAGTCTAGTTTCAGGATTGGCCTCCTCGTCCTATGGTTAATAATTCATGATTCCTGTGCCATCGGCCTCTTCTCAGTGGAGAGTGATGAGACGGATTCCAGAAGAGAGCAGTGGCAGCCCCTCCTTCGTTTTCCATGGGCGCCTCTCTCTTCCCATTGTTCTGTTTAAATATCGTCATCCCTTAGAAGCACTGCTTAGTAGTAGCTGGCCTGGAAGTAAAGTCTGTTCTCTTTCAATCAATAATTCATCCTTTCAGTAAACTTAATGAATGACAACTCGCGGTCAGGCAGCAAGCTGGACGGGGGTGGGAGGAACAGGGGGAGATGATTCTGTCTCTTTTGTCAAGTGGCTCGCAGGCTGGAGGAGACATCAGGCCTTTGTAATGGTCGTTGCTGGCAGGGGAACTTGAGGAACCAAGGAAAGGCAGCCTGCACCTGCCGGAGAGATGAGGGAAGGCTTCTCTGCAGAGATGGTTTTGCAACAGCACCTGGGGACAGTTGGAGGGCTGGTAAAGAGGCTGGGCATTGGGGATATTCAAGAGAGGGAGCAAAAGCTTAATGGCGAGAAAGAGGCCTTTTGGAAGGCTTGTGTAGTTCTGTATGGGTGAAGCAGGGGAGGCAGTGCCGGGCGATGTGGCCAAAGCATGGCAGGCCACAGCGGGGTCAGAGCAGGCACAGCAGCCTAAGGAGCTGTGGGGAGTTAACGACCCTGAGAAGCAGCGTGATATGATTGGATTCGTGTTTTAGGAAGCTCTGTTTGGCTGACTTGCAAATGGATTTTGAAGGGTCTTGAGAGGATGTCAGGAGAACTGCTCAGAGGCCACTGTGTTTGGAGTTGAGAAATGATGATGGCCTGGGATATAGTGTTGAGTTGGAGAAAAGGACAGATTCACATGGTGACTGACTGTCAGGAGTGAGGCATAGGGATGAGGAGTGCAGCAGAGGGGTAGGAAGCAACGGAGACTAACTCTTGGATTCTTTCTCGATTGAGGAAAGGCAGATCGAAAGGGAAAGATGGTGAGTCCAGTTCTGGAAATGGTGGTTTGTGGTTCCATGTGCCTTCCATACATGGTCTCAGGACAGAGGTCTGGGCTGGATATGGGTTTGAAATCATGAGTGTGAATTATGTCACCCCATCAGTGTGGACTTAGGAGACTGGAGAAGTAAAGATAAAAAATTGTTGGGAGCATGTAAGAGGCGAGAGGAGAGGCAGTAGAGACATACAAGCTAAGGGAGACTTCTCAGAAAGAGATTGACAGTGTCAGATGCTGCAAAGTTCCAGAAAGAAGGTTTATTTGGATTTTGTGACAAGGAGAGATTGTTGACTTGGGTGAGAATGGCTTCTGTGAAATGGAGAGGGGGAGGGTGGGCGCTTCCAACATGCAGACAGTTTTCCAAAAACTTTGTTGTGAGAGGAGATGGATTCTTGGCCGTTATGGATTCTTGACATCACATGTGAGTGATGTCTTCTACCTGTAGTAATTGATTTGGGAATCCATCAAGTGCCCATTTCCTTTAGTATTTAAAGCTGATACACACGTATAAGGGCTTGACCCTTGAAGGCACTGTCTGGCCTTTATTTGCTTCTCTTCCTTCATATTGGTTGAAAATATCAGGTTGAGGGGATGAGAGGAGTGAAGCCAGGAGCAGGGCAGGAAAGAGAAGAGGAAGATCAGACAGCTTGGGTTTATGTGTAGCTACAAAATTTCGAATCAACCCAGTGGTCCTTCTGTGCTCTCCATTCAACCTGCCACATAGAAGAACCTTCTACCTCTGCATTGCTGGGATGTCTTCCCCACCCGGGTCCCTGGTCCAGCACTGCCTCCTCCACTGCCCCCTGCTCCACTCACCCACTAGCCTCCCCGTCACTTTGCTCTGTGTTCCACACAGGCCCTCAGTTCTTGCTGCACAGAGTTCATTAGGGTGAACGCGGACCCTCTCTGCAACCTCTTACCATTCTCTCTCCACTGCAGTGAAGGGGGCATCCCTACTTCTCTCTAAGCTGGTGCTCCAGCCTTGCTTTTTCATTTTTTTTACTTGGCCTTGAACTGTGGTTCCCCCACATGACTCCTTACCCTAGAAACTTCCTTACATGATTTTATTTCCTCTCACAACTTTAAAACTGTCACCGACATGCTCTTGTCCACAAATTCTTGAGCTCTTGATCATCTGGGCTTCCTCCCTTAGGGTCCCTGGGACCTTTGAATGCAACAGGCTAACTCTTTCGTCATCTGACCCTTCTCCACCTTGTGTGTGCCAGTCAAGGTTAGAGGCATCATCTACCATTGAAACCATCAGCCTGAGAGGAAAATACCTCATTTTTCCTTATATGTAATTCTGCATTGGTCAGTGACTTTCTCCCGTAGCTCAGAATCTCCCCTGGCATTTCCTGTACAGCCTCCCCTCTGCTAGTGCCTTCATTTAGTGCATCATTATTTGTCTGGCCTCATTATGGTCTTCTAACCTGCCTTCCTCTGCCAGTTTCTCCAGTCCTAGTCCTTCCTTCACGTCACCACCAGTTTGATTATGTTTCCTGTCTGCTTAAAACTTTTTAGTGGTTGTTCTTTATTTTCAAAATAAAGTTGAGCATCCTTTGCATCAGACCTGTCCTGGCCTATCCTCACCTACCCTCCCAGCCCTGCCCGTCATATGCCCCATGTGCCCTTCCCTGCCCTGTGAGCTGCTGCTTATCTTTCAAGATCAGTCCTGTGTGGGATAAAACCCAGGTCATTTGTCTACAAAGAATGTATTTTTTTCCACATCATTCTGTTAGTTTAGTTACCATATTCACCATTTTTATGCTTTAGATGCCTCCTGGATGCTATTATTACCCATTCTCATTTAACTTAGGGTGATTTAGTTTTATTCTGAGATCATTTCTTTCCAAAATTATCAAAGATAGTAGCCCTTTTGTTGTGAATTTAGATCTAGTACAATTAGAATCAAAGTGCTGAATTATTCTAATGGAATATGAAAATTGCCACTTTAATGACTGCAGAGATAAAAAGAAGAGCAAATAAAAAAAAGTAGTTTGCATGTTTATGTAGAATTTACTAGAATAAGTTTGAGACATTGGTGCAAAAAGTCCCTTGTGACTGCTCTGCCTGTACATGGGAGTTTGTCTTTATTGTGAAGCACCTTTTCCTCTTCTCAGCAAAATCCAATTCTTGACTCTTCAATATTTTATATATGAGAGACTTATAAAAAAGAGGTCCACCAAGTTTTCTAGCAGGACATGTAGGTATTCTTTTAAAAAGGTTTCAAGAGGAGCAGTGGTTGCAGGGTAGAGAATATGTTGAAAGAAGTGGTAGAACTTTTCAGTAAAAATTAGAAATGCTTAAAAACATTAGAGAATGCTTTTCTTTCTTATTTTCAGTTTTTAGAAGAGAGAACACTGAAAAAAACAACGTAGAAAATGGTCAAAATTTTAGGGCTTTTTATTTGCTTTTGTTTCTTCTCGAGGTGCAAAGTAGCTACAATTTACTGCCATCCTCGTGTTTTCTCTAAAAATATTTTTCACTTTTCTGATTTTTTTCAAAGTGACTGTTATTCCCGCATCTACCAGCACCAGGTGTAGGCATAGCTGCTGAGGCATATTTTGTTGCTCCTTTGTGAGGAAAAAATGTAACTATCTTACACCAGGATGCCCTGCTTAATTCCCTCCTCACCCCCTACCTTCAGGAGGAAACCCTTTTCATTTCTACCTACCAGTACTGCTTAATATACACAGTCCTGCAAAGGCACAGATTTGGGGGACAAAGTCAGCGGAGGCCTGGCTGTTGTGGCCGGCTCTGCACATTCACAGTGAGCTGCTGCTTACTGGCCCTGACATGTAGGAGCACCTGGACGGGAAAGTTTGTTCCACGCACCACCCAGAGGGAGAAACGATTCCACCCAGTTCCTGGTGTGTGTGTTCCCTCCACGTCCTTGAGACTAATCCAAAGCAGAGTTGACTTTCTGGAGATTGAATTGCCCATATATTATTTATAGTTTGTAGGTTTATAGTTAACATGCACAGGTTTATCTACTCCCTAGCCCTGTCAAAATGGTAAAACATTTTTTTTCAAAATAGTCTCTCTTATGTGTCCACCAAGTGTGCAAAAAACAAACAAACAAACAAACAAACAAAAACATGCAGCTTGATTAACATGGAGCATTTACCATGCAGCTATTACTGTGAATAAGACAGAGCTTGATCCCAACACCCCAATCACTGCTGCCTCCTTCCCTGTGCCCCCCTTTCATCATTCTGCTGAAAGTCTTTTGAAGGGACTTTCCACTGGCCTTGTCCGGAGAAGAGCCAGCAGAGCAGGGCTCCAGGAGGCTGGAGATGGAGGGGCTTAGGGTGGGGAGGCTTGGCAGAGAGTATACCTTGGCATCTTGGTCTGGGTCTGTTACAGCTTTTCTCACGGGCACCAAGTCTGGGCGCGGACTGGAGCCTGCTGTAGTCTCAGCCGTGCGCATGGCTCCCTGTAAAAGCTGCCGTGATCTAGTCCCTCTGGGTGTGCTAAGTTCTGAAAGACTCCCTGGGAGCTGATTCTGTGGAGCTGGTATGTACCTAACACAGCAGTAACTTGTTTCCACACAATTGCAGGACATTAGCTTATTGCCAGTGGGTGGACAATCTCAGTGAGACCCGGAAGATGCTCTCTCTTAGAGGTGGTGGTCCCTTCAGTAACCTGCTGAGGTGGGTCGTGTGCCACATAACGAAAGGAATTGTGAAGCGCGAGATGCACGGCCACGGCATTGGCCGCTTCTCAGAGGAGGAGATTTACATGCTGATGGAGAAGGACATGCGGTCCTTAGCGGGGCTGTTGGGTAATGTACCACGCCTTCTATTCTTTCTTTCACACCCTTCCTCTTTGCATGATTAGTAAGCGCTGTTAGTTTGCTATGTAAGCTTTTGTTTGGTGGGTTTCTCCACCTCCTCATGTGGGTGGCAGGCCCAAGGTTCATGTCATCTCATTTTTAGGCAATGGTTCTCTCTGATCACTAGCATGTGGCTGTGTAGTGCGGCCTTTGGGAGGAAAATATAGATGGTGTTGCAGCATTTCTGCCATCAGGGATGTGGGAGCTTCTGAGTGGGTCTCGAGCCAAGGGTGATCTGGAGCAGGCAAGGGGTGATCTGGAGCAGGCAAGGGTGATCTGGAGCAGCCAAGGGTGATCTAGGGCAGCCAAGGGTGATCTGGGGCAGCCAATGGTGATCTGGAGCAGCCAAGGGTGATCTGGAGCAGGGCAACTCTTTTATTTACAAACAGGCCGGGGTGAAAAGCTTCCTCCCTGAAGCCCGGGTCTGCATCCAGGTCTTGGCTTGCTCTGTTATGTGGGGCCCTGGATGCTGATGAGCCTCTTGCTTTAAACCGACATTTAAAAGCTCTGCCTAACTTGGAGATTGAGCGATCTACACCTGCTTTGCCTTCCTGGGCCCAGGTAGACCCACCTGATACAGATGTGAGTGGAGTGAGTTGAAGGCCTGAACAGAAAAGGCTGAGTCGCCCCTAAGTAGAAAGAATTCCTTCTGCTGACTGCCCTTGAACTGGGACATATGCTTTTTCCTGCCTGGAGACTCAAGCTGAAACACTTGGCTCTTCCTGGGCTGTGAGCCTGCTGGCCTTGGGATTAGAACCATATCATTGGCTCTTCCAAGGCTCAAGTTTGCTTCATTCTTCTGGAAACTTAGGCTGGGCCCTTGGCCTCACAAGGCAGGCAGTTGGGTGAGCCATTTCCTCTGTGTCTGTGGCTCTGTCTGTTCCTGGCTTTCTCCCCTGTCTCACTAGCTCACTCTGTTGGGAACCCTGGCAGGTCTGAGAATCCCCAAAGTGATGCCAGAAGTGCAGTAAAGTGCGCTCAGCTCTCACAGCTTAACAGCATTGGCGCCTTAATCAGGAAGGGGTGATGTTCGTCTTGGGAGCTCTTCTGGATGGGAGAAGCAGGGAGTGAGTGATGGCCATGATAATGGTAACTGTTGGTGTTTCTCTAGTGTTTATGACTTAGAAAACACTTTCTCGTGTTATGGTGGGATGGGAGGTAAATGAATAGGTAGGCTGTGTCCCTGGCAAGTATTCAAAACAGCATAATTTATCTAAATGATTTTCCGCCATGAGAAAGTAAGTGGACTCCATGGCAAGCTGGGTTTTTGTGGGAGTTCTGTCCTCTGTGGGCCCAGGAGGCATCAACCCTCTCAGAGAAGATGTGCTTTACTCTTTTTTGGGGGATGGAGAGGCTCCATGCTGAGCTTCAGAGTTTTTCTTATTAAAGGAGGCATAAAAGACCCACCCTACTTCCCCCTCTGGGGACATAGCTTACTTTCAATCAGCAGATGCCTAAGAGATTCAAAATACAAAATTACTTTTTGTTGGTATCATTCAAAGTTTGGGAAAATTGTCCAGGGATGTATCTGAGCCATTCACTTGCCCCCAGTGATTGAATACAATCTATGTACCAGGAGCTGGGAAATGAAAGATGGATTCAAGAATGTTCCATCTCCAGTAGCTGCTAAGGAGAGCAGTGGGCGAGCCAGGAGAGTTCTGCTGCGCCATGTGGGTAGCTCCCTGGCTGGGGATCCAACTTCTGCTGCAGTGGCTGCTAATAGCTTCATAGTGCTATGTCTTAACCACTTGCACCACCAGAGAGGCCCCTAAGTGACTTTTATATTATTAAAATATTAGCACCCCATATTGGGAAGATGGGTGTGTTTAAAACAGAGATACTGTTTCTGTCTTGGACTCTGATAATCCCATCATGAAAGAAGTGCGCACATCATCTGTTTCCATCCCTTCCCCAAAAGGGAAGAGTCAAATAGAGCATGGGCGACATAACAATCAAGAATGAAAAGGCTAGGTTTGGGGTGCAGCATGCGTGGAGGCGGGAAGCCCAGTGGTCAGCCCATGAGAGAGGGAGCTTTGGGGTCACATCCCAAAGGTTCATGCCTTGGGTTCTTCCCTAACACCATGTGACTTCATACTTGAGTTTTCTCATCTGCAATATGGGTCAGAACAATCCTTACATCATAGTGTGTGAAAACTAAGTGAGATAATTTATGTAATGGACTTTACTATGGTGTTTGGTACAGAATAAATGCTAACTTAGTATTAGCTATTATCATTCTCCCAAATATTGTGTATAACGCAACTCCATTGGGAACATTGCTGGGAAAAAAGTCTTTGTGAAAAGATATTTTCTGATTTGTAAATTTGTTAGTTAATTGTAGAAATTTGGGAAGGCTCAGAAAAGTACAGAGAAGAAAAGTTATTCTAATCTTATAATGTGTCATTAGTTACAGTTAACTTCTTGGTACATATATTCCCAATACTTTATGCATACTTTTGAGTTGTATGTATGTATTTGTACACACAGAGAGACACGCTTTCCCAACCTGATTTTCCCTTACTTAATATTGCCACTATTTTTTTCTCTTGCTAAGCATTCTTCACCAATGTGACCCTATGTGCTTGATATCATACTTCATGCCAGGAAAACAGATGTAAGATTCATCAGCCAAAATTCTGCTTTGACTTCTGCCTCTTTTATCTTTCTCTTCTATTATTAACCCCAAATGTACAGGTATGATCTTGAGGTGGAGGGAAAACAAGAAAATAAGAAATACATAACTATGGTCTATATTATTGTGAAGATCCACAGCTCTGGCCATTAGACATGCGATTAAAGTGAGGCTAGCAGGTGAAATCCAGAACAGAGCTGAAGTAACACCACCCACGAGGCAGATGAAGAAGTCGGGGCACAGAAAGAGTGAGTGACTTGCCCAGAGTCAAACAGGAGTTAGAAGTGGAACCAGGGCTCAAACCCAGGGTGACTAGCTCCAGACTTGTGCTGTTTTCTGACCCAACAATAACCAAAGTTGCTTATAAATTGTGACATAAAGTGAAGAACTTGTAATGTGTCAGGATTTTTCCTTTAGAGTATTTCCTAAAGTTGCCCTAACTTCACTGGCAAGTTAAAATGTAGTCTCCAATGTAATTTAAAATGTTTTATGATGTTGCTCCTGAAGGTTGAGTACAGGTTTAAAAGCATGGAGTATTTTCACTGGCTTAGATTTCCTGGATTTGTGAGTTCAGGTTCTACTCTTCCTTAGGAAGCTGGCTCCCCTATAAAGGAGATGTATTAAAAACTCCAGGTTGAAGAGGAGAAATGATGAAATGATCTCTTCGGAAGCTGCTATTGAAAGTGCCAAGTAATAAAGTGGAATTTGTAAATGGAAAGAGAAAAACAGGCTGATTTCCAGCCAACTGTACTTGACTAATAAATGCAGTGCACTTCCTGCTCCTCTCCCCCCGCTCCACCCCCAAGTCTGAAGTCTTCCGTTGAGTCATAAAATGGCTCTAGAGGCTTAGTTTTTAGAGTCCTTGTTGACTTGGGTTGGCACATGTCAAAGAACCAAATCTGTTCGTTATTTTAATAACTATCAATGTGTGAACTTGACTGTTGATTGTTTGATGAAAGAAAAAGAAACGGAAAGTTGTGCAGAAAAGTGAGTCACTTGCCACATGTGCTTCATGTTACCCTTCTCAGCCTTTGTAGTTCCAGTGTGGTGCAGCATCACAGAATGATTGTATTTTGCTGTCGCATTGAATATTTTTTCATTTTTCAAGTACATAGCTATTTGATCACTTAGTTCTTAGTTAAATAACATGTAGGAGATTAAAGTCAGCTTTGGTAATTAGTAATAGGAAATCTCTAGCCCACTCTTAACTGGAAATGCCTTTGTGATTCCATACCTCAGTCTGGAAGGAAAGCCTCACTGTGGAGCAGAAGTAGCCATGCAGCTCGGGATGACGTGAGCCATGATAGTTTGGGATCTGGGGAGGGTGTTTGTCGAGGAAAAGGCCATGGCTGCGGTATGCCTGTAAGTTCAGGTCAGAAATCTTTGGAAGGTGGGAGTGCTGGTTTGCAGAGCCCCCTACTGCTCTTGCATATCAGAAAAAGACAGCTGATCCTAGTGAGCTTGCCCCAGGGAGGAAACTGGGCTCCAGTAAGAAATAGATTAGGGGAGGGGGGCGTTGTCACTGTGGTGCAGGAGCTGCCCTCTTCAGGGCAATGTGCTTAGGTTGCTGCCAGACCCTTTTTGTGGCTTTATACGCCTTGCCTGGTGGTTCTCAGACTTCTCCAGTCACAATACACGGTTGATGCTTTTGGAATGCAACTTTCTTAAAGTTGACTGGAGCTGGAGTACTAAGGAAAACTGAAGGGGCAGCCCCTTGTGTGTGTAGGGGTTTGAGGGTGGGTTGATGATGGACCTGTTTCTTTTTTTCATCTCTGTTGACCCCTAGGGCTTGGGCTGGGGTGACAGGCTGCAGGATGGGAAGTGCATAATAAAAATGCAGTTTCAGTTATGAGGCCTCACTGTGCATTGTTGGTGAGCTATGAACATCTGTTTGATAAATGAAGGAAAGAATGAATGTGTGTCACTTAGCAGACAACCAAGCCGGACTCTAAATCTGTGGATTTGGGACCAAAATGTTGAGATTTGTGGATGCATTTAAGGAGGTAGGGTTAGATGCAGTTCTGCTGAACCTGCAGTTTCCAACAAGGACTGCTCTTTTGAGCCATGGCTCGCGAGGATCTTAGGAAGTAAACTTTTCTGATAGGATTCAGACAGAAGGGTAATTCCTTTGACTTGTGACAGTATCACTCTGGCTAAATGGGTTACATACATTTATTCAGCAGTATTCTGGGCTCCTTGTGAGGGGTTGGGACTGTGGTGGGCAAGTTGATCTCAGCCCTGAACTACTGCTGAGAGAGAGATTGTGAAACATTTATTAGCAGCAACATTTGTACGGGGTACAACAAAGGCATTTTTG